TGATTTTCGTCAAGCTATTGACGGAAAGAGAACACACAATCAAAAGCGAGAGAGAAGAGAAACGGAATTGAAAGCTCGTGACAGCAAAAAAAAAGAGTGGACATCCATACCAGAGGATCGAGCTTAGGGAGAGCAACAGGCTGGCGAGGAATCCTGCGAAAGCGAAGGCCAAGGTTGTTGTTGTTCTCCATTTCTGGTTTCGAATTCGGAGAAGAAACAGATCTATACAATGTCCGTCACAGCATCTGAGCTCTTACTCTAAGAAGAAATTGGGGATTGCTTGTTAGCTCTGAGAGAAAAACCTAGAAACGGAAAAGCGCAGAGCACACTTGGTGTAGATCTGCGGGTGGGAGAGAGGGATGAGTGGATGAATCTTTGTCTTTACGCAGAGGGAAAGAGATCCGTGAAAGAGAGAGAGAGAGAGAAGAAGCAGTTGGAGAAAAGTTAGAGATTATTCTAATCATATTCTCAGAGAGAGAGAGAGAGCTGGAGCCATAGTCCAACCACAGTCCAACTCTACAGTCCCTTTCTTGTTGTTTTTTATTTGTTTTGGGTCAATTCGTACGACCAAGACAAAAAAAACTCAGCTGCAGAATTGGAGTAGACGAATTATTCCGACTTGCTAAAATAATTGAGATTCCTATGGATAATTTTTTTTATTTTTAGTTGGAATGTAGATTCTTATTTTTTATTTTTGGAGAGATTTCTTTCAGATTTTAGCTTGGTTTTGATATGAGGCAAAATTACTTTCTTTTTTATGTGGCGGCGATGGAGAGTATGATTAGCCACAAGTTATCATCAAAGAGTTGTTTTTGCTTTGGAGGCTGCGGTTTTGGTGGGAGCTGTGAACAGAAAAGCATGGCCTTCCTTCAATTTTCAGTCGCTGAGCTTCTGATTTTACTCTTTTCGGTGATGGAATGGAAACGTGGTTTTGGAAAGAGTTGGATCAAATAGAGGAGCTAATCTCATTGGGCAAAGTGTTACTAAGTATTGTAGGTTGCAAACTTGCAATAGTAAGTGGATGGAGTATTTGCTAGTGAGAGATTCATTTAAGCAAAAAAAAAACTCCATATTCCACAATACCAAAACAGCTATGAACTATCTTCCCTTTCCAAAAAAAGAAAGAGTTTTGATGAGTTGCAACATCACAATGCTATCTCAAGAAATTATAATTATTGTATACTGCAAATGAATTTACTTGTCAGACTTTGTTTCAAGTAGGCCTAGTTCAACGAATTGACGTTTTGATTCTCTGAAATAAACTTATCTCTAGGCAACGTGCTTCGACCAGATTCAGGTAAACCAAGTGCATACCGGATTAAACCGAGATTCACTCACATCAATGATGAAAAGTCGAATATTTTCTTGGCAGAGCCAGAGTTTGTTTTGTTTTGTGAATTTTTTTTAAAGGTTAGCAATTTCGCAAATCGTTTTGAAACCACCGGACAAGTTTTCAGATACAGTTAGATTGAAATAATCAATTTTAAACATGAAATAAAAAAGTATACAAAAATCCCATATGCCAAGTAAAAAAAAAAAAAGTCAACTTGCACCAATCAAAATCCAAAATCACATCCCTCAGCATCCAGATGGGTTGTCTGGCACTATAGTGTGAAACACAAAATTCGGAAACGTCTTCGTTATGTCTCTGCACAAACACAAATACAAACAAAAACACACAAAAACTTGTTAGTCCCGCCCAAAGAAGAAGATAGCAAAACGATGAAGATAGAGAGACATGTCTTTACTTGAGATGTTGAAGGGTCATGTTCTGTAACAGAGAAGGATGGCGAAAAACAAGACTCTGCCACTCTTCCTTATCAATCTTCCCGTCCAGTTTACTATCAGCTTCTTCAAACGTCTACACCAAATATATATATAACTCATGTCAAAGAATAAAGATGAGGAAGCCTAGTCAATGCCAATAGAGATCAACCAAAACCCACCTTGTCTATGATGCTCTCTATCACATTATCAGAAAGGTTCATGCCAGATTCAGCTAGAGTCGCCACCACCATTTCCTTCAACTTTTACATCAACAGAGGATAAGAGAAACGAAAAAAACACAGACACATAATGCCAAGTGTATATATATATATATATATATATATACCTCTTGCCTCTCTATATACCCTTGCTGTTTCAGATCATACAGCTTGAAAGAAACTACAGAGGCAGAGAAAAAATCATATCCAAAGAAGGTGATAATGTTGGATATTAAAGAAAAAGACACAAATCTCTACCACTTACACTCGATCTTATCCTCAATTTGAGCCTTGGGGTGAAAAACCGAGATAGCACGAGCAAAGGTTTCAAAATCAAGAATCCCAGTACGCTTGGTATCAAACAAGTCAAACACCTGCAAAAGCTTGAACATGATGAGTTCACAACAAGGAAACTCAAGATCGCCTTATCAGAACTCACAAGTGTCTTAACCTTATCAGCAAAAAGACTTCTCTTTTTGTTCGTCTTGAAAAGCACCAACTGAAATTGTTCCTGCAAAAAAAATGGAAAGGTTCCTGGTGAAAAAAAGGAGCACGGAGATAGATAGTACTAGTGATGATGATAATGACGATGGATTGTGGCATGAGACCTGGTCAATAAGCCCGTCTCTGCTGATGCTCATGAACATTTCGTAAAGAGCTTCAATCTCATTCACAGTAACTGCAATTTGTGATTGACTTAAGTTGTGATAACCAAATTCAAAAGCAGTAAAGTTAGGAAAAGTAGAGACATACACACAGTGCCTCTAGCCACATCCTTAGGGTTCAGAAGTGTCTTGCTGTGCGGTGGAAGATCAGCATCACAACAAGTCAACAGAATTGTCGACAAGTGCTTTAACCAATCTAAACACTTCATCATCATCTCTACGAAAAATCACTACTTCCATGCCTAGCACAAACACATAAAAAAAAGATGGTTAATTCCACTGAAAGTCCCCCTCTAAAGTTTTGTTGATTGGTGAATAAAAATTCAAGAACCGAACACAAATTTGCTGATCCGATGCAGACTCAAATGAATAACATATCGCCGGTAAGACGAGCGAGGAAGGAGTAGTTTTGACTTTTGAGAGAAGAGGAAAGAAGATGATCCTAGTGAAATTTACTCGCTTTTTTTGTATTGGTTTCTCTCTTGTTAGCGTGTAAAGAAGCTTCAGATTACGACTGGTTCCATCCAAGAAGGGTTTTTCAAATTCACCACGATGTAGAGCTGTAGTTGGCTGCTGAGAGTTGAGAAAGGATCAACAAGTTCGTTGGCGTAAATTAGTCGTCTCTTTAGTTAGTTGGTGACCACTTGGACAAGTTGACATTTCCAAAGAGAGAGAGAGAGAGAATTACTAAATGCAATTCATCAAGACTAATAAAAGATACCATATAATCTCTCTGGCACAGGTCTGGGTTCCTGGATCTCTGGCAGCAACGTTTCTCAGAGCTTAGTTGAGAGATGGCTGCTCAAGTGCTTTCCGATTTGGTCATTGGCTCCTTTTCGCTGGTTAATCAGGTCCTCGCCTTACCGAAATCCCTTTATCATCAGCTTGCTATCCATTCTCTGCAACGTATCTCGATTTCCCGAATCGAAACATCTGTACCAAAATTGTCGATACAGCCACACAATCTGGCATTGTCTTGTTCATCGATTCATCGGTAACTTCCATGGTCTCGAACCTCACAGCTATGACATCGTATATATAATGACGCACCTAGATTCCACTCTTACTTCGTCTCCTACATGAGACTGCGATGTAGGCCGAGCGGAATTGGAGAAATTACAGAGGGAAATCTCGATCGGGATAGAGATTTCACCATCTGTCCACAATCACCTCTCTCTGCTCTCATCCAATTTCATTATCATCAAGCTTCAGAGCTTTCGCCTGCGATGATTCTTCTTCGCTGCCACAATTCGATTTCAAACTCATTTTCTCAAGGCCATTCATGTTGCAACAGAACATCTATACAGAATTACAGGCCCAAAAGGCCCGATTTTTTTTTACCATTCAACTTTATTTATCATGTAAAACAGTAAAAGGTTCACTTCTTGCACAGTACCAAATACAAGTAACAAGAATACAAGTTTGCTCCATACCGAGCGGTGCATGCAACCATTCAGAAATCATCAGAGTCCCCATTTCCACTCTCCATATCTGAAACACACGTATTAGATACGCTTAACTACTCTATGATGTTTTAGTCATTATTCGTTTACACTTTCCATCATCAGTAGTCAGGCCTAGGCCTCGGCATAAAAACCGACCGGAAGAACCCGACCCAGAAACGATCCGAAAAAACCGGTTCTGGTTACTATCCATTTAGGACTAAATCACATGTTGGTTATTTTTTTTCTATAACCATGGTTTTTGGGTCGGTTCCGTTTATTATCCGTTTATCCGTGGATACCCATTTAGACCCGACTTTTTTTCTTTGTTTCTTGACTTTGAAACTTATGTTTTGTTTTTTCTTTTGTTTTTGTCTCTTTGCTGTTTTAAACCTTGAGTGTTTGAATATTTGAAAGTTCAAAATTCATACTTGTATTGTCCGATTCTGTCTTATTAAAATATGATGAAGTTAATTTGGATTTTTATGGTTCAAAAGTGAGAAATTCGGATAAAATCATGTTAAAACGGGTACAAATAGGTACAAATGGATACAAACGGGTAAAAAAAACCCGAAAATACCCAAATCCGACTGATATCCAAAATTTTCGGGTATTTTACAGTTATTTACAAGCGAAAACCGTTAGACCCGGAACCCGAGAAGAACCGACCCGAAATTATAGCGGTTCCTATTTGGATAAATAATTTAAATAACGGTTAGACCCCGAACCGAAAGAACCGATCCGAAAGCGATCCGAGTACCCATTATTCCCAAGCCTAGACCCAAGAAGGAATAAAACCTTAGAAATCTAATGAAGTGATCGAGAAAATTTATTATTCTTGATTCAAAATAACATATTTATTGTTCTTTGAAAAAAAAACAAGAACTTTAAAAATCTATGATCGAGAAAATTTAAATCACTTAAAATTAACAATATCGACAAAATCAATAATTATCAGTCTCATTATAGAAAAAAAAAATCACATATGTTAGAACAAAACTTGTTCCATGAAGACAATAATATCTTACAAACAAAAGTCCTCATCTGTTACCGTTATAGCCCAATTAGTCTATAGGTAACCCAAAAATTAATGATCATATATTTATTTTATATCATACTAAATAATCAAATAATACTAATTCTTCAATATATACAACAAACATACTATTATTTACGTAATTATCATATTAATATTTAAAAAAAAAATATTAAAATTTATAACATCCGTGCTTCTCAAGCATGGGTCAAGATCTACTATTCGAATAAAATCTGTTACTCTCTCTGTTGTTAACCTAACATAAATGTATATCAAGCCAAGGTGCCAAAGAAATTCAATTGGTGGGCAAATAAATAAATGGAATAAGATGTTGACCACAAAACACAAAGCCTTACTCGTTCAAAGTTTACACACAGTGTTAGTGTGCTCCTATTTGGTCCAAGTGTGTGTAAGCGGGAGTGTGAGATGGGGGTTGTAATTGTAACCAAATTAAAATTACAGGGTGAGAAATGCAATAAAGAAAATTAAGCGACGAAAGTAAAGAGAGATTGGGATAGAGAAAGAGTAAGTGGGGGAAGATGGAGAGTGTATGGAACAATTGATGAGAGACAAAACAACATCAAAAAATAAAAATACAAAAGGGGTTGTTCGATCGATTTGATATTTGTGTGGAGTGTTGAGTTGAATCAGAAGATGTGTCCTTTTTCTCTTTCCTAATCTCAGGGGAACTTTTTATATTTTCCCCTAAATTTCTCCGTCCCTACTCTTTTGATCAATTGCTACCAAAAAAAGCACGAATCTTTAAAAACAGAGCCTGTCCTTTGTAATCAAGTGTTTGTATCACTCATGAATTCGTGGTGAGAGAGATCCGGTGAGATAATAAGAGGAAGAAGAAGATTACTTTTTTTTTTTTCATTTTGTGTGTGTTTGTGTGTGTGGGTATGGGTAACGTGAACGCGAGAGAAGACGCGAATAGTAACAACGCATCTGCGGTTGAAGACGACGACGCTCGTGAAGCCATGTCCGCCGCTTCCGACGGTAACCACCACGCCGCACCACCTGAGCTCATGGGTCAATCCCCTCCTCACAGCCCTCGCGCCACCCAATCCCCTCTCATGTTCGCTCCTCAGGTTTTGTTTTTTTCTCCCTCAATTTTTCCAGATTCACTTTCCTTTTCGCTATCTCAATCTCCAAATCAGAAATCGGAGAGATCTGAAAAAAGCTAAAGTTTGCGTCTTTCTGCAAAAAAGGTTCCGGAGCTTCCACTTCAAAGACCAGATGAAATCCACATCCCAAACCCATCGTGGATGCAAACTCCATCTTCATTGTACGAAGAAGCTTGCAACGAGCAAGGCATCCCAACGATGATCACTTGGTGCCACGGAGGCAAAGAAATCGCCGTTGAGGGATCATGGGACAATTGGAAAACAAGGTGAAATGTTGCTTTTTAAAAAATCAATACTTTCCTTAAATTCATTTCAAAAATTCTCTCATTGTTGTTTTGGGATTTGATCAGAAGCCGTCTGCAGAGATCTGGTAAAGACTTCACGATAATGAAAGTGCTTCCTTCAGGCGTCTATGAGTACAGGTTCATTGTCGATGGACAGTGGAGGCATGCCCCTGAGCTTCCCATGGCTCGAGATGATGCTGGAAACACTTTCAACATCTTGGACCTCCAGGTAACCTAAACCGGTTAACTAGGTGGTTGTTGTAGGTTGAGAACATTCAGAGATTATATGCTTTGGTGTGTGCACTGTGCAGGACTATGTGCCTGAAGACATTCAGAGCATATCTGGATTTGAGCCACCGCAATCACCAGAGGCTAGTTACAGCAACTTGCTTCTTGGACCTGATGACTACTCCAAAGAACCGCCTGTGGTTCCACCGCACTTGCAGATGACGCTGCTGAACTTGCCTCCAGCGAACCCGGACATTCCATCTCCGTTGCCGAGGCCTCAGCATGTCATTCTCAACCATCTTTACATGCAGAAGGGCAAAAGCGGTCCCTCTGTGGTTGCCCTTGGTTCCACTCACCGGTTTCTTGCAAAGTATGTGACTGTTGTGCTCTACAAGTCCCTGCAGAGGTGAGGAAGATGATGATGATGTCAGTTCCATGTGGAAACTTCATGGACAAACATGCAAGAAAAATGAGTGAGGCTTATAGGAAGGAGATTATATGCGAAAGAAGAGTTGATTTCCAGGCAAAAGTATTCCCTCGATACGCGCGAATTTTTGTTTTCTGTCTTTTCAAAAAAGTTGTCAATAAGGTTTTACCAACAGAAAGAAGATGCAGTTTTTCAGTAAGTGTCAAGTGTAATCTTTTGATTCCAAGACTTGATCATCTGTTTTCTTTTTTAGCATCATTTTTAGAAAGAAAGAAGAATGCAGGAAACGAACCACTTCACTTGTAAGTGTTTTGGTGTTTTGATTTGGGGCTTTCAAGTTTTTCAACAACAGTTTGTTCTCACCTGCCAGTCTTTAATTATTGCTTGGCTTTCAAATCTAGCAAAGTCATGTGTGATAATGACAGATGATCATATACTTGTGCAACTTGTGTAACAAAAAGCATCTGCAGATCACTCATCTCTCGGTGAAAAAAAGCAAAAGATGACAGATGTTAGAGAGTCACTTAATAGTGATATATATATATATATATATACAAAAATCCCATATGGATTAAAGAGATCCGGACATGTGATGAGTAAGGGATACATTTAATTTGTTTTGTATATAAAGAAATTGATCGTGAAATTGATAATTCAGATATAAGGTATAATTGCTGTTAGATTATTTTATCAAAGAAAATCCGAGTGTGGTCTAGGTGGTTTTGCAAATGCATGATATTTATCTTATCTGCATAAAGCTCGATCCCATACTAGATATGGTTTCCCGTTTGATGGAACGGCGATCTCATGGCGTTCTCAAAAACACTTTGATCGTCACTTCTTCAAACTATGTATATATTATTGTATTGCATGAAGCATGCAGGGAATGTATGTGGTTCACTTCAATGACTCAACACATACAACAAGCAAGTGAAATAATCACAGACAAAGAGGCAACAAAAGTGTCTGCATGTGTCGCACAACGGCACAAGTTAAAGAGGGTTATCAAGAGTGATAGAATAAAACATATCCTTGATGTACTTGCATTTTACATAGTTTTAGCACATCTTTTATGCATCTTTTGCATAGTTTTAGCTCCATTTGCATCATATCTTGTTCCTTTTCTCTTCTTATGCATTCATGTTAGTTTTAGGTTGCATTTGCATACATATGCATGTTTGGTCCTTTGAAATAGGTCTTTTGGAGCATTCTGGAGCATATGGGACGTAAGGAGCATGGAGGGACTTGGCATGGACGCAGCTCAACTGGATACGCAAAGGAAGAAGGGAGAAGCCATCTTGAAGACCAGCTCGACCACCTACTCGAGTTCCTCAACTCGACCGGCCAAGCTTCAACTCGATCGAGCTGAGAAGTCAACAGTCAAACCCGAAAAATGTTGCTTCCCCCTTGACTTTCCTTTGACCCTAAACCTAATCCTCTTGTATTTAAAGGCTCTAAGCCACGAAAAAACCACCAAGCTTTAGATTACTTTTGTTTTAGTTTCTTTTAATTTATTGTCTTTTACTTTTTAGAGCTCTAATCCCATCTTTGTGTTCTTGAAGCTCTTGCTTCTTGAATCCTAGATCCTGGATAATCTCTTTGTATTTGCACTTGCTTATTTCAATAAAAGTTGTTTAATTTCATCTCCTCTTTCTTATGATGTCTCTTTTATTGCATTTGCTTGTGTTTACATTCATGTGTAGTGAGTAGTTACCCATTAGGGTTTGAGATGGGATAGATTAGAGGTTTCATATGCTTAATCCTTCTAGCTTATGGTCTTAATCTAGATTCTCTCTCTTTTGGATAATCTTAAGGCTACATGACCACTACCCCTGGCTTGTAAGTCCTTAGGCGATTCTCCACACGGAAGTGATGGCATTCGCTGGAAAAGATCCACTAAGAGCTCCAATATCTCTTGCTCTAGAAAGAGGTCTAAGGGGTTGGATGGATTAGTTTGGGCAATGATCCTATGGCCTCCAAGGTTTGATTCTCACTGGCTAACCCCCTGTTTCTGAGATCATTCCTTGGTTGATAGCCTTCACCTTGGGAAAGGGTTGGCTAGGCATTGAGAAGCCCAATATCAAGAGAAGCCTTGATACAAGGAGTTTTAAGAGCAGATTGATTAAGTGTAGATTCCTCTGATTGCAAAACCCTGTCTTGAACCCTAATTCTCTCTTTAGCTTGTTAAAGTCGTCCTTTATTCTTTTTCTCAACTCGACCCTAAACTCGATCGAGCTCGGTACTCTGTTCCACTCGACTCGAGTCCTTGGTCGAGCTGTTGCTCTACTTTTTATTTACTTTCTGCATTTCATTTCTTTATTTAGGTTGTTAGTGTTACTTCAAATCTTTACTGCTTGCTTGACTTCCTGTTGTTTCATATTCTCATAGAGTGACAAGTTTCCCATTTTGGATTGATAACCTCTTATACTACATGACTATGATGGTTAAGAGGAATTGATTGATTGTGTTGCATCCATCATCTTTATTCACCACTGTTGCATTCCACCTCATATCTTATCACACCACACAAAATCCTATCATCAATTTGGCGCCGTTGCCGATTTGGGAATATTTTTGTTGCATTTGAGTTTCAAACACACTTGGACGATCAAGCTATACCACCCCTGTTCTATTGTACTGCTGGGTTTTTGTCTCTTTTTGCAGGTGTATGCGAACTCGATCGAGTCGGTCTACAGAAGACTTGGTCGAGCTAGACTTACAACGGGTAGAAAGAGGGTTCAGAGGTCACAGAGGGTACAAGAGGAACCTGAGGTGCTTGTTGCTGATACAATGGATGTACCAGAGGGGAATGGAAACCCTTTGGGCAATGGACTCGGTCGAGCTAGGCAAACTCGACCGATTGGTCAAGGAGATGCTCCAAACCGCCACCAACAGAGACAAGGGATTGTTCCACCACCAGTGCAGAACCACAACTTTGAGATCAAGCTGGGAATGATCAACCTTGTCCAGAACAAGATGTTCCATGGATTGCCAAGTGAAGACCCCATTGACCACCTTGATGAGTTTGATAGGCTTTGTGATTTGACAAAGATCAATGGTGTCTCTGAAGATGCCATCAAGCTGAGACTCTTTCCTATGTCTCTAGCTGACAAAGCTCACCAATGGGAGAAGAGCTTGCCCCATGGCACAATCACCACTTGGGATGAATGCAAGAAGGCCTTTCTTGCTAAATTTTTCTCCACCGGTCGCACAGCCAAGCTTAGAGGAGAGATATCCAGCTTCATCCAGCGAAACAATGAGACATTCGCAGAGGCTTGGGAGAGGTTCAAAGGCTACACAAGTCAGTGCCCACACCATGGATTCAACAATGAATCACTACTCTCCACTCTTTATAGAGGATGCTTGCCTAGGTATAGGGAGATGCTAGACACAGCTAGCAATGGGAACTTCCTCAACCAGGATGTAGATGATGGCTGGCAACTTGTGGAGAACATAGCTAACTCAAATGGAAGCTATGGAGAAGAGTATGATCGCACCAATCGGAGCTCGACCCACCACTCGATCGAGTCAGACGAAAAGTTGAGAAAAGATGTTAAGGCATTGAATGAGAAGTTGGATAAGCTGATCTAGCTCAGTCCACAATGAAGAAAGTCAACTTTGTGTCTGCTGAGGAGATGGAACCAGTCCAAGAAGGGGAGGATACACAATTTGCTGAGGTGTGCTACATGAGCAATGGGCAAGGAGGTTACAACAAAGGATACTATAATTACAAGTCCAACCCTGCCATGTCATACCGCAACACTGATGTTGCTAACCCTCAGGACCAAGTATATCCTCAACAACAAGCAGCTCGATCGAGTCAAGGTGCCACAACATGGGTATGGTCAAAAGAACAATTACCAAGGACCACAAGGCACTTTCCCTGGACAACAAATGAATATCCCACCAGGCTTCCCCACCAACCACCCCAGCCTGCACCTTCACAAGAGAATGAGCTCAAGGCAATGCTAAAGCAACTACTTCAAGGGCAAGCTGATGGGGTAGTGGACACAAGCAAGAAGCTAGCTGAAATAAACTCTAAGATCGAGAACCTCAACACAAGGGTTTACTCTCTGGAGAATCATGCTTCTTCTGTTGCTGCTGCTACAAAGCAAGGACAACTACCTGGTAAAGCTATTCAGAACCCCAAGGAACAGTGCAAGGTCATCTTCACTCAAGAAGGACTTGTTGAAGAAGAGGATCAAGAAAGGGTCATTGAAGATTTTTGTTTACTGCTGAATGATGAAGAGATTGTTGCTGCTGAGGCTCCTGGAGTCCAGATTGATCAACCAGAAGTGCAGGCACCTACTGTGGCCATTCACACTTCACCAGTTGAGCTCGCACAACAAGCTCGATCGGCAGCTCGATCGAGTCCAACTCTAGCTCGATCGAGTCCGACCTCTTCTGTCCCAAAGCCTTTTTGCTTGATCCTTACCAACCGGTTGCCGCTTCCTCGTCTCGCCTACTTAGTCAAGGTCACAAGGAAGTGATTCACAAGTTCAGAAGAGATCTCAGTGGGATTGGAATTGAGTTGCCTCCTATGGATAGCATGAGTGAGGCATTTGATCAAATGCAAATGGTCAAGGATGTTCTAGCCAACAGTGATAAAGTTTCAGAGGTCCTACAAGAGTCTACTCATCAGTTCAACCTGCTTACTTCACCCACCTTCCTACCAAAGGTCAAGGATCAAGGGAAATTCACTCTCCCTTGCACACTTGGGCATCTTGAGATTGACAATGCCTTAGTGGATTCTGGAGCAAGCATCAATCTGATCTCTCTCTCCATGGCAGAGAAGCTAGGCATTGCTGGAGCCTTGCAGCGCCCTACTACTTCAATCATGTTTGGAGATGCAACTTCTAAGTCTCCTCTTGGAGTGTTCAAGAACTATCACTTGAAAATTGGAGAATGCATCATCCAAACTGATCTCACTGTGATGGAAATGGAAGAAGAGAAGGATTACCTCTGTTATTGGGAACCCCTTTCCTTAGTACAGTTGGCGCTTCAATAGACTTTCACAAGCAAGAAGTGATCCTTCACAAGGTGAATAGTTTGGTGTCATATCGCTTGCAGCCTAGAGGTTCAGACTTTTGTGCCACAATTGACAGTACCACTCTCAGTTCTAAGAGTCATGGAGCTACAAAGGTTGTGAAGGAAAGGGTTGACAAAGAACCAAGAGTTGGGAAGGATAAGGATGAGAGAGGACCAAGGATTGAGAAGCCACGTCTTGAGAGGGCTAGAGTTGAGAAACCACGATCTGATAGGCCAAGAGCTGAGACTTGTTCAAGCCCCTTGTGTGCTTGATGAAGAGAGCCTTCAAGCTTTGTTTGATGAGCCACTAGGAAGGGCTCTAAAAGAAGGGGAGGATGTAGCCTCTAAGGCAAGACCAGGGATTGGGATGGAGTGGGTCCCACAAGCTGATTTTGGTCCCCCACTACCCTAATTTGATCAGAAAAATCCCTAGCTTTTGTTCCCCTCTTTATTTCATCTTTTAATCTCAACCACACATCTCAAACACTCCCTCTTCCCCATAACTCGATCGAATCCACCTCTCCTCTCCCACACTTAAAATTTCTGAAACCATCTCTCTCTCTCTTCACCACAAGAAAATCGAATTTCAATCTTTCTCTCTTAAGTTTTTGCGATTTCTCTTGTTCTTCATTGTTTTGTTTGGGTTCTAGTTTACTGTCTTCAATTCATCATTCAAGCAAGGTATGAACCCTAAAACCCTTGATTCCTCCATCTCGATTTCATTATTGCTTGTTTCCTCTTTGATTTTTGATTGCATGTGTCCCTTGTGGACTTGTTCTTGAGTAATTGCTTTCATATTTCTCCTGCTATAATCTTTTGAATTTGCCTCACCTCACCTCTGTTTTGCCTTTAAGAACTTGTTGCATGTGCTTGAAACATTGAATTTGAGTTTGGTATTGGTTAAGATGCTTAGTGCTTTCACTAGAATTGCTCATTGTTCCATTTACTAGTTGTTCTTGGTTCAATTTGATTGATTAGCATCCTTTCCAGCTCTTAATACTTGAATTAGGTTCGGTTATACTCTGTTTTCACCTAGCTCGATCGAGTTTGTCACTCGAGTTTTTTGACTCGATCGAGCTGAGTGTCGAGTTGACCAAACCGATCATTACAACTCTAATTCTTTGTAATCTTTGATGCATTTCAGGTACTTTAGTGAAGAACAGTGTAACAGAGATGACAAACAGTGAGGGAAGTCGCGCTTCACAAAGGAGAATGGTTGAGGGTGAATCAAGCAATGCAAGGGAAAGAAGGCTTAAGATGCAAGCCGATTTGGAGAGGATGATCAAAGGATGGAAGAGTCTGATGCAGAGGAGTATGTGTACTCTGAGGAAGAGTCTGAGAGTGAGAGATTGAGGGAGGAGAGGAGACCAAGAAGAGGAATGACCCCATTAGTAGTGAGAGTGAGCAAGGGGAGTTTGAGATTGGAGTGAACCTTGTTCAAGAGGAGGGAAATGGCTCTCCAAGTGAAGAAGGAAGTGATGAGACTGAGAGTGAAGAGGAAGGAGAAGAGGTGAATCAGTTGGTTGAGAGAGTGAGCAAGAGAGTAACCAAGATGAACCTATGGAGGAGGTTGAGCCACAAGAGGAGCCACAAGAGGAGGAGAAGAACTCCCTATGTACCAAGAGCACTACAATGCCCTCTTCTCCATGGACTTTATGGATACCAAGTACCCACATGTTGACACAATGAAGGCCCTTGGAATCTTTGAAGATGTGGAGCTAGTTCTCAAGAACATGCACTTGGCCAAGCTCTTCTCTTATCACATGGAATCCTACAAGGAGCTCACTTGCGAGTTCTTAGCTTCAATGAGGTACCACATGTACGAGAGGAAGATAGAGCTGATTTGGACCAAGGATTGGGATGGATCACGTTCTTGGCTAAGGGAGAGAAGAGAATGGTGACCTTTAGGCAGTTGGAGATCTTGTTTGGGTTCAACTATGGAGAAGGTACCAAGTGGAACTTCAAGGAGAAGGAACTCCAAAGGGTTTGGGCTACAATCGCTGATGGAGAGTACTCTTCCTCAAGGTCCAAGGCTGCTCAAATCAGGAGCCCAGTGTTGAGTATGTGCACAAGGCACTTGCCAACACCTTCTTTGCAAGGAAGGCAACCGGGACAATCAACGAGGGGGAACTCAAGTTTCTTGACATGGGAATCAAGCCCATTCTCTCACGCACAAGCGATGGCAAGAGGATCAGGGGAGATAGATCAACACAGGGAACTTGATGCCTTTCCTTGATCATCTCCTCACCTACAAGACACAGCCTACAACACTAGACATCAACGAGGGAGGCGCCTAAGTGTTGGAGGGCTCATCACTCCTATCTTGTGTGCTGCTGGAGTGAACCCAACTGATAAGAGAGCCACTGAACCAGGTTGGATGGACATCAAGTTTTGCAAGACCAACCTTCTCATTGAGCACAAGGAGTTGGATGGGAGGTTCCAATTCAAGTTCACACATCCATTGGCTGGCCCTCCAAGCTTCTCCTGCCTAACCCAGAGCTCACCACAGTAGTCAGGGGTGAGAACATTGACTTCAGACCCCCTGTGTACACTTAGTTGGGCATGAGGATGATTTGCGAGAAGAGGAGCCTGAGCTCGATCGAGCTGAGTCTCAAGCTGAGGATCGAGTCCAGGAGAGTGCGGATTTGGGTGAGCCTGAGTGCTATTATTTTGAGGAGTATGAGGCTCCAAGGATGAACCCCTCTGTTGTGGCTGCCCACAAGAGGATTGGACTTCTCCAAAAGTTCAACAAATGGCAAGGGAAAGCCATTGAAAAGATGCAAAAGTCCATGGACAAGATGGTGAGCAAGATCAAAAGTTTGGAGAAGAAGGTTTCTGGTTCTTCAAGCAAGAAGAAGAAGGCCCATGGCCCACATTCCTTAGGAGTAGATCACTTCTCACCACTCCAAGGAGGCTCCCTGCCCAAGAGCCTCACAGAGCCTCTTCTTTCGAGCCAAGGGAAGGAGAAGACAACTCACAGAGAAGGAGGAAGAGCTTCTAAGGCCAGACGCTCCAGCTCGACCACCGGACTCGATCGAGTCCAAACAGAGGAAACTCAACTCGATCGAGCTGACGGTCGAGTTGGAGAGGAGCCCAGTTTGAGGATCCGGATTTGAGTACGATCCAACGCCTTACCAGGAGCACCCTCAGTAGATGGAACCCCTATGGACAGTCGAGCTAGCCATGCTCCACCAAGGCCAAGGGAGCCACACACACTTCAATGAAGAAGAGGAAGAAGAGGAGCCGCAAGCTCGATCGAGTGAGCGAACCCAGTCGAGTGGAGTGCTCCTGATGGCCGTCTACCATCTCCAGACCACGACCTTGCCTCCCAGTTCTTTGGGGGGCACTGAGGTATCCAAACACCAACCCTTGTATATACCATTTCATATTTTCTTGCTTTGTTTTTTTCTTGGTTTTGCCCTCTTGAATCTTTCACTAAATTTCTCTCACACAAGGGACTGTGTGATTTAAGTTTGGGGGAGGGTTCAAGAGATGATTTAACCTTGTTTTCTTTGTTCTTAGTTTTTCATTCATCTTTTGCATAGAAAAACCAAAAAAATCATAAAATTTTCAAAAAATCCAAAAATATTTTCATCTTTTTGCATTCATATTTGTTAGACTTGTTTAGGATTGCATTTTCACTTGCATTGTTGATTTGACTTTGAAAACTTGTCCATCATTTGCGATTTCTTGAGTGCCCTGTTTTTAGATTCTTTTGTGCATTAGGGTGAGATTGATTGAGCAGCAAGAACCATGTTTATCTTGATCATATCACTGCATGCACATCTCATTCAACCATTGCTGTGATTTGATGCATTTCCCTATCTATTTGAACCATAACTTGATCTTTAATTACCAATGCTTGCATTTGATTTCAACTCATGGCTACCACATACATATCTGGACATTCTTTACCATTTTCATATCCCTTTGCTTGTCCAGATAGCTGATCTCTATCTTTGAGACAGTTACCACACCTTAAACCTAAGCCTTTTCATTTCAAACCCCTTATTATCTCTTGTGCGAATGTGAGAACCTTTCTTGGCTTTGCTTAGCATAAGGTGTTGTGTTTAAACCGGCAGGGGCAGTAGTTCTAGTTGTCTAGTTCTCTTGGGATTGTTTTCAGGCTAAGTTTGGGGGTGCCAACTCGAGCTCGATCGAGTTGGGTGTAAAAACCAGAAAAGTGGTAAAAGTTGGGAAAATCCAAAGGAAAAAGAGTTTAGTTAAGTCCAGGGAGTTGGCAGTGTTAAAAAGGGTCTAGTAAAGGTTTGGGAAGTTAAAAAAGGAAGTAAAAAGGGTTCTAAGTAGAATGAAAAGAAGGCAAAGCCTCAAGTGTCAAAAAGAAAGAAAAGTTCCCTAAGTGTTTAGAAAATCCCAAACCGCTAGATGTTACCTCAAGAAGCCTCTCCCTAGGAAGTTCTTAAAAGAAAAGTGAGCAAAGCTCCTCAGTTTCAAAGGCGAAATGCCAAAAAGGGTAGTTAGGATTTTGTTCTAAAAAGCTCTAAGTGTTGAACTCGATCGAGTTAGGATTAGACGGCTCGAGCTGCTGTTCTTGCATCATCTTTGGTTCTAACACTTAGCCTTCTGCCAAAGCAAAGCCACTTTCTTGAGAGATCCCTGTTACTAAACCACCATACAAAAGAGACCCTCTTTGTCTCTTAACCCATAAACCCTTGAAACCAAATGAGTTGATTGATCTTGCATGTTTTTGGTTCACTGTTTTTGCTTAATGAATGTTAAAGGGATTTGCTGATTTGAATGCATTGTTTGAGTGACTGTGAAGTGGGATTGATGTTGATAAGCATGGTTAAATCTTAATGAATATCTCTCACCTTGTTGCATTCTAGAATCTCTAAGTTGGACATTTAGCAAATCGCTTTTGAGGACATGTTTTTAAGTGTTGAATCAAGCTGTTTTCAAACCTCATCTCTTTCTTGTTCTATTTGTTTGCTTGAGGGCAAGCAAAGTTCAAGTTTGGGGGTGTTGATGTACTTGCATTTTACATAGTTTTAGTACATCTTTTATGCATCTTTTGCATAGTTTTAGCATCCATTAGCATCATATCTTGTTCCTTTTCTCTTCTTATGCATTCATAGTAGTTTTAGGTTGCATTTGCATACATATGCATGTTTGGTCCTTTGAAATAGGTCTTTTGGAGCATTCTGGAGCATATGGGACGTAAGGAGCATGGAGGGACTTGGCATGGACGCAGCTCAACTGGATACGCAAAGGAAGAAGGAGGAAGCCATCTTGAAGACCAGCTCGACCACCTACTCGACCAACCGGTCGAGTTCCTCAACTCGACCGGCCAAGCTTCAACTCGATCGAGCTGAGAAGTCAACAGTCAAACCCGAAAAATGTTGCTTCCCCCTTGACTTTCCTTTGACCCTAAACCTAATCCTCTTGTATTTAAGGCTAAAAGCCACGAAAAAACCACCAAGCTTTAGATTACTTTTTGTTTTAGTTTCTTTTAATTTATTGTCTTTTACTTTTAGAGCTCTAATCCCATCTTTGTGTTCTTGAAGCTCTTGCTTCTTGAATCCTAGATCCTGGATAATCTCTTTTGTATTTGCACTTGCTTATTTCAATAAAAGTTGTTTAATTTCATCTCCTCTTTCTTATGATGTCTCTTTTATTGCATTTGCTTGTGTTTACATTCATGTGTAGTGAGTAGTTACCCATTAGGGTTTGAGATGGGATAGATTAGAGGTTTTATGCTTAATCCTTCTTGCTTATGGTCTTAATCTAGATTCTCTCTCTTTTGGAAATCTTAAGGCTACATGACCACTACCCCTGGCTTGTATGTCCTTAGGCGATTCTCCACATGGAAGTGATGGAAATCGCTGGAAAAGGTCCACTAAGAGCTCCAATATCTCTTGCTCTAGAAATAGAGGTCTAAGGGGTTGGATGGATTAGTTTGAGCAATGATCCTATGGCCTCCAAGGCTTGATTCTCACTGGCTAACCCCCTGTTTCTGAGATCATTCCTTGGTTGATAGCTTTCACCTTGGGAAAGGGTTAGCTAGGCATTGAGAAGCCCAATATCAAGAGAAGCCTTGATACTTTTTAAGAGCAGATTCGATTATAGCCTTCCTCTGATTGTTAAACCCTGTCTTAGACCCTATTGTTCTTCTAGCTTTTAAAGTCGCTGCCTTTATTGCTTTTTACTTCAACTCGACCCTAAACTCGATCGAGCTCGGTACTCTGTTCAACTCGACTCGAGTCCTTGGTCGAGCTGTTGCTCTACTGCTTTATTTACTTTGCATTTCATTTCTGTTCATTAGGTTGTTAGTGTTACCCCAAATCTTTACTGCTTGCTTGACTTTCTTGTGTTTCATATTCTCATAGAGTGACAAGTTTCCCATTTTGGATTGATAACCTCTTATACTACATTGACTATGATGGTTAAGAGGAATTGATTGATTGTGATTGCACCATTTCATCTTTATTCACCCCTGTTTGCATTCCACCTCATATCTTATCACACCACGTAAAATCCTATCATCAATCCTTCTAAGGTTTTTCTCATTGTTAGGCTTCATAAGCCCAGTCCAACTCCACCACTAGTATGATATTGTCCATTTTGGGCCCAAGTGGCAAAGCCCGCACGGATTTCTCTTTGGGCTCCTCCCAAAAGGCCTCATACTAGTTGGAGTTGGACACTGCTTATGTATTAGACACTTCTTATCTAAACTTCCGATGTGGGACTTGATTGATATCTCAACAATCCTCCCCTCAAGCCAAGGACCACATAATCCCGTGGCCTTCCACCTTCAGCGATACCTGGCACCCTTCTTGTATCGCCGTAATTACCAACGGACCTCTTCAATTAACCCTTGGCCTTATTGTTAGGAAGACTTTCGGCACAAGGACCAGCACCCCTAATCGCAAGGTCACCTTTGAGGGCTCCTCCCACCACATATTAAAAAGGTTTAAGTTTTTAAAATTTTTGATTAGGGTTTTGGAGATTTTTAAGATTTCGGGTTTTCGGGTTTAGACATATTAAAAAGGTTTGAGTTTTTAAAATTTTTAATTAGAGTTTTTGGATCGGGCTTAAGTTTAAGATTTAGATTTTTTTCACAAAACTGCAACGTCACCGCACGTTTGTGCGGGTCCTCTACTAGTTTGTATATAAAAAAAAAGACACAAACTGATTATATTGACTTATTGCTTCTTTCGATACAAAATATATATCCTCTGTAAAACCTGGGAATAAACCTGGGAATGTGCTCAATTTTACCAGACCAAAAAACCCCATTTGATACAAAATACAATGAAACGAACCAAACCAAAATTCAATATTATAAACAAACAAGTATTAGATGTATACGAAATGACCGGTGACTATAACTGGCTAGGTGAGTCATATTGAGTGGCCGGGAAGGCTCGGTGGTTCGCAGCTGATCAGATTGGCCCATAGATTCGCAAGAGGCACCAAGTATTGGTCTCCACTCCACTCCACCATCTTGATTCCTGCTTCACAGATTCGAGTGAAACCCATTACTTATTGAACATTGAAATGGTCTAAACACAATTGCGATAGAATAAGTGTACCTTGTACCATCTCACTACTAAGGCCAGAGATGTAGCAAGTGGGTGATGAAGCTGAGGTGATGCAGGTGAAATCGTCAACGTCGTCTATATACTTGATTGATTCCAGAAGTTGATCAGCAGAATAGTCACCGTCAAGTTCTTGAAACCGGTTAATATTATTCCGCAGAGCTTCTTCTAATCCTGAGCTCAACCACAACTTGACACACTCGTCCAAAACAGCCAACACATTGGATGATGATGTTGGAGCTAATACAACCCATGGTCTATATAGTCTCGTCGAGGCTCTCAGAATTTTCACTACTCTGTATATTTCTCCAACTGAGAGAACAAAGCTCTTCCCTGCATACACATGAGAAGAATTAAGTCTACGGTTGATGATAATAGCTTCGATGCGAGAGACTGATGTGCTAATAAGAGTTGGTACCTTGAGGTTTAGATACGATCCCTTCTTGAACATCGTTTTCGATCACTTGTTTCCATATGGAAGCAGCGTGTCGCAGTTCTTGAGCACAGGACGAAGCAATGACGAACCAGGTTGAAACGTATTTCGACTGTTGCTCAGGTGAAGACGAGTTTAGGATCTTCAGTGTCAACGCCGCGTGTTTGAGAAGTTCAATCGTTGGTTTAAAGTCCTTCTCTGCCTTTACTGATAACAATCTCTCTGACAAGAGATGTTCTGAATCAAGTGCTCGGAATTTTGGCTCCTGGAGTGCTTTACAAAGTTCATTAATGCCGCCAGAGGATCTTGGTTGGAGACTTTCTACGTTGACTTCACTGATCAAATCATCATTGTTCATCAAGTTTTGCAGATCCTAGAGGCAAACACACAGAACTTAGCAGAGTTTTAGATGACATTTTCCTTGTAAATTCGTAAGAATATGTACCTACCTGGATTTCAATGTCACATTTTTGAAGTTCATGAGAATCAGCAGCCAAGTCACGAGCTTCCTTCAATATCAAGAAGTTCATATGATGAAACGAGAAATAAAACAAAGAAAGATATCCAAAACACAAAAACTCTGCTGACCTTTAAAGTCTCGAGATGACTCAGGGCAATGTAGTATAGTTCAGTCTTTAACTTATGAAAGAAGTCTTTATAATCATTACGCTCTATGCTAATTACTGGATTTTCCTGCGATTGATCCCAAACTCCATTTTCCACAGAACTATGTTTATTATATTCCCATGAACCGTTTTCTCCTTCCGGCTGTGATGGACCTTGAAACTCCCACGAATCATCGTCAAACTCATCATCAGAGTTTTTAGAGGCCAGAGAAGGACCTTGAAACTCCCATGAATCATCCTCATCATTTACAAATCCATTTCCGTCAGACTTTTCCGAAAGATTAACAGAGGTTTTCTCATCCACCTGGCTGTATAAACTTGATATTAGGTCATTGATGGACACATTTGAATTTGGAGCTTTAGTTTTCTCTCTCACGGAGAAATCACAGACTGAAACTGTATTATCCTCATGAACCAGAGTGTCAGAGGTTCCTAATTCCTCCTCATCCTCAAAAAAGGACAGAGGCAAGACTCCTTTAGGCTTTTCTCTCTGCACTTCCTTTTCCTGAATCCAGTTAAGTACAAAATCAAGAACTGTCAAAAGGCACTTGCAAAATCAATAATTTATCAAGAAACTAGCAGCATATTCAGCAAAGATAGAGATTTTTTAATGTTGATTACAAAGAGAAGAACAGATGCCATAACAATGATACCATCAAAAGTCATTTCAAAGCACCAATGGTAAGAGACATTACCTCTTTCTCATTTCCAGTTTCCAAAGACGGCTCATTGAAAGCCCAAGAAGTTGCTTGAGAACTCACATTCACATTTCCATTTTCCTTCTTCCGCGGCTCTTTCTCAACCGGTTCCAAACAGAATCCGAACCCCCATCCATTAGATTCCTGTAAACACACAGTCCATAAAGCAAGCTTAAACCATCAGCCAAATCCAATGAAGAAGGATTGTTTAAAATAAAGCTTTGTACCTTGTTCGTTAATTCTTTCTTTGGCTCTCCCGCTTCAGCAACCTTGAATTCCCACCCGCCATTGCCCCAAAGATCATCATCATCATCATCTCCATTTTCTCTGTTAACATGATCTAATTTACCACTATCAAAACTTGGACCTGTTCCATTTGTATGCGAACTCCAAACGCTTGAGCTTAAATCATCCTGAGCCCTAACAGATCCTGATTTAGCTCTCTCTTGTTCCTCCTGCTTTGAACACAATTATGTAAAAGCTCATTAGAGCAGAAAACATTATCTCGCAAGAATCATAGAGAACGAGAGGCAAAGGCATACCTTAGACTCGGCCGTCTTAAATTCCCAACCATCATCATCGTTTTCATCGGAAACTCTCAAATCTGAATGATTTGGATCCGAATTGACCCCATTAGTACTCGAATTCACCGCACTGCTTGTGCTTTCCGGCGTTTCTCTATCTAAATTCAATGGATTCCAGCTCAAATTCTCCGATCTGAGAGCTCCATTTTCGATTTCCCGGCCATTTGTGATCTCATTATGTCCGTTTTCTCTATACAGATTCGCGATCAGGCCACTGATTTCTACATTCACAGATCCGGTGACATCATTTTTGTGTTTATTAGAGAACGAATCGAATGAGAAATTAAACGATGAAACCGCCGCACCTGATCCATCTTCTTCTTCTTCTTCCTCTCCGAACACAGAGAGTGGCAATGGACCACGAGAACTAACCCACTGCGCCTGATTCTTCTTCTCAGATTCGATCCGATTGGGCGTCGAATTAGCATTTGGAGTGGGAGAGAGAGAGTCGATGCGAGGGGAGGAGTCGACGAAATCTCCCCAATCATCATCTTCTGCTGCGGTGATTCCGGTGGGTGGATCGACGGTGGATGAAGGGGAGAAGAAGAAATCGAGGCCGTTCATTCGATCGGAGAAAACCAGTTTAACGGTTGGATCCGTTTTGGTCGGCAACCCAGCCTGGCGCTCGCTAGTTGCTGGGTGCGCAGGATAGTGTTACCCCGCGCACTTGAATCTTTGTACGATTCTGAATATTTCAATGATTGCAATCTTGTCCTTGTAAAATACGTCAATTGTTTTTCCTAGTCTAATTACCCGAAATCAAACCGAAGCGAACCAAACCCAACTATAATTTGATTTGGGATGAAAATTTTATTGTTTTTTTTTTGTTCAAAAGCTTCATTAATTAAAATAAACCTCTTACACTTCCGAAATAAAATTTCGGATGGAAAGTTTTGCCAAAGAGTCTGCTAACACATTCGCAGATCTTGAAATCGAAACGAAAAACACTGAATGGAAGAAAGAAGCTAGATATGCGATATCTTGCAAATTGCTAACACTCCAAAGATTTCCGAGAGATTGGTATTCGAGTTGATGGCATCAATAAGTCGCTGGGAATCTGAGGCCACATGCAACTGTTGGAAACCCAGATCCAGTGCATGTCTGAGAGCTCCCATGATCGCGAGGCTCTCTGCAATTAGCGGTGAAGCAGTATGCGCAAAGGCCTTGGATCCCTGATCTAGCGCTTCAAGTCTGTTGTTGTGAAAAATCCATCCTGCTTCTCCAACTCTCTGTTCTTCGTTCCATGCTCCATCAGTAAAATTTTATTGTTTTAGTTACCAAAATAAAAAAATTGAAACTCGAATAATCCCAAAGCGAACAAAACTAAATCACTATGGCTTCGATAGCGACTTTGTAATCTTACCCATAAGTTGATAAGTAGTGCTTCCGGTTTTTCTTTTGTGTGCAACAACTGATTTTATAGCTTTGTTTATCTCAAAAAGAGAAAGAGATTCAATATAAAAGAGTTGAATCCAGAATTACAATCCACCCAACAAAGCTAAAGCAAAGAAAAGATAACAAGATAAATTAAGAATTACCACAAATGATTAATTCATCCTTTTAGATAGAGAGGGAGACATAATTACCTAGTCTCAAAACATATGATCCAGAAACTAGTATAGAAAAGCAAATCACCACCAATCTATTAGTTTATCTTCTCTGTTTTCGGTGTTGGAACAGAGCGCAGGGAGTTGTCCGCCGCCCCTCTCTCTCGGCCCGTGGGCTCTATCCCTATCTGACGGTCAATGCGTTATATTTGGGAGGCTGGGAGAATGTATTTACTATCCCTGCAATCATCGCCGAACCTTTTCCCGTATTTTTTCCTAACTCACACGGTTTCGCAGGGAACTTCCCGAAAGGTCACCCATCCTTCCAGCTCCAACCCATCACGCTTAAATCTGGAGTTTTTTATGGGCCCTCGACCGAAAAAGTAAGTGGACTTTGATGACATAAGTAGCTAAATCAATTCTTTTCACCTCTTCTCATTTATTACAAACCGGGATGTTACAAGTTGGAACAGACAAACTATGTTTCAGAGATAGAAGTTTGGATATCTTGGATTATGATTGAATCATGTACGAAGACAGTTTTCTTAAAGAGTATTTCGACCCTATACAGCCTTGGGTTACACGAAATCCTCGCCGGATAAGACAATCACGTCCACTCTTTGTCTAGGCTTAAGATCAAAGAGTAACAAGAAGAGATATTGTGTGTGTTTACTTTGGTTGCTTTTGTGAATCAGATCTATCTTTGTAGATCACGAATTTCTTGTGTATCCTGTCTCAAAGAGACAACAGAACTTATAAAGTTCTCATAAGGCCTCAATGAGCGTTTGCAACCGTCCATTTAATGATTGTACCAAAGGCACCTGTTCGTATCATGTTGAAACACATTGGTACATGTTGTAACACCTTATTCACTTAAATATCCAACATTCCTCCCCCATTTAAGTGTAATCTTTCATTCACAAAAACCAGCAACGAATAAACCAAACCACATGCATATATATAAATGTCGTATCGATTGAATTTAAGAAGTCATACTTCAACCTAAACTTACATGCAGATAATAAGCACTTCCTTTGGGATTACATATAGTGCTACAACCTCTCAAGGAATGGGCTCACCTTGAACTTAACTCCTAGGGAGTTGGGTGTCCCACGACTAGAGGTTTGAAATGGACTTCAAACCAATCCCTTCAGCTGACTTCAAGTGATCTGCTAGATTCCCTAGACAGACCCTTCATCAAGTGATTGATCGCGGGATCAGGTCTTCCCTTTTCCTATCCCTGATTCTGCAAGTGCACAGGTCAGAAGTAGTAAACGGGTATCGAACACAAGGACCAGATTGCACACTACAAACTATGAGATTGAGATCGAGCTAGGGCAAACAGTATGGATTGGTTGAGTGCAGTGAAAGTAAAGGCATGCAAGTAAGTAAAGAGATTGAAATCAATAGGAGAGAAAGGCTAAGCAATAGGATAGTCTTAAGATAAGCAATTCAAGAAGCAAGGATCGATCGATTAGGGTTATTGTAATTAGGTGCCATCTAGAACTCGAAACACTATGGTATGATCTTTCCACTTTCGTGGCTCCGACCCCTTTGTTAATCTCCCTAGTCGCTAAACTTTTGGTATGTCCCTAGGTGATTAAATCAAGCATTAGTTCGAATAAGTTCAATTGTTCACAACCTACAAGTAAATCAACTTTCGCAGTCTAAAAGAGGTTGCCCACCAAATACTAGTTCAGGCGAATGATCAACACTTTCGAGGCTCAAGTCAACCTTAATCATATGCTAATTGGCCAGATTAACAACAAGCATTAAGTATAAGCAAAGATGAGATTATAAGTAAAACCCTAATTCATGTGATCGATCATCAAGCAATCATGAATGCCATCCTTTGACTTCCTATCACTTAACAAGTAAACTACTCAGACATAGAGAAGGAAAACGAATTCATATTCATAAGAACAGAGATCGAATCCTCTCTTGAAAGAGAACAAGCAAGAACAAAGTAAAAGCAAGCAAAACTTTATTAAAGATGTAAAGTAAATTGTGGTCTCTCTCCTTCTTGAGTTACAAGGCTAAAAAGATGTATTTATAATGCTCTAAGTATGGAAGAGCGGCTAGACCTATATCTAGTAAGTCGGTCATGTAGTTGGGCTTGAAACGTGTGAAACGGGCTTCAAAAACGGCTTCGGGTCGACCGGACCGTTCGGACGTTCGGCCGGCTATCGGATTGTGATCGGCTATCGGCACGTTCGGGTCGATCGTGGCCGAGAGATTCTTCATTCGTTCGTCGGGTTCGGCCAGACGGATGATTTTGGTCGAAGGATTCGGCCGGACGTGGGACGAGGCCTTCCTGGTCGGACAGTGTGATCGTGTGCGTGACACGGGTTGTGCTGGATGGTCGTGAGGCGTTGCCTTCCTGCTCGCGCGGTGTGGTCGTGCGCGGCTTACGGTTGTAAAACTTCGGATTGGTCGACCGCGGGACGATGCTTCCCGGGTCGGTATGTGAGCTCGGCCGTGCGTTCAGGGGACGGAGTGTCCGGACATTGGCCGATCATGGGATGGATGTTCCTCGGTCGGCCATTCCACACGGTCTGGACGCTGTTTCTCGGTTCGAGCCGTCTAGACCAGTCTTCACTAAATCGATCATAACTTTTTTCTACTCATCCGAATGATGCGAATACAATTGCGTTGGAAAGTTAACTCACTCAGGGCACGCGGCGAAATGATCTTGATGAAATTCATTGAGTAGATTATTTTTAGCTCCTCCCAATGTAGATGCTGTGACATTGGACTGGTTTGAAGTCCAAATCCTCTGTTTTGCCATAATGCACCTTTTGACCTAAAATGACTCTTTGCACTATAAATCCATAAAAACTAACTTTTAAGACAAGAATCCACTATAAAACCATTAAAAACCATAGTAAAACAGTATAAAAAGCATGTATAGGTATATCAGTGATGTGCTAGATTCTGCTGAAACCGAACAAACTCTAGAGTTATCACACCATGAGTGATCAATTCACGAACAGCGGTATGTCTTACGCCAAGGTGTCTCAACTTTCCATTGTACACTTGAAGAGTAACAGTTTTGAAATAATTAAGTAGTTTCCGTTATAACAAGATGAATTTCTAAAAGTGACTTATTAGCTCATACGTAATGAGTTTGTAGTTTCTAACTTATTACCTTCTAAAGTGGAGAAGACAATGAAAAGTCAATTTTTGTTTTTTTTTTTTAAATTGAAAATTCTTATTGACACATAGCATCTTCTCGTGTGTCCACATATCCAAAATATGAAGAGGATTTTTTCTTTTTTATATATATATGATTTAATAGTGATTCAAGATGGACCTAAAACATAATAATATTAAAGTAACAAAAGTGGTTTTAATTATAATAAACTAATATATTTAACAAATAAATAAAATTTAAAATTATTAATTGAAAGAAAAATGAAAAATCATGTCATATGTCAATCATAAGAGTGTCCACATATCACGTATATGGAGAGAGTTATATGGAGAGAGTTAGCCTCTTTTCATATATATGATGATTAACTATTTTGCCAATAATTTATTGCAGATATTTTGTGACTATTGTAAAAAGCTTTTGTTTTGATTCAAATCAAAACAACTATTTAAACATTAACTAATAAGAAGAGATTTTTAAAAAGGAAAAAAATATATATAAATTAATTTAACATAGAAATTAGATTATATCAATGTTTAGAAAAATAAATACAAAAACAAAAATAAATAAATAAATTTATATGGTATAGTGTATAATATGTATTTAATATTTAACAAAACATATGAAATGAAAACAGAAAAATAGAACCATATCATATGATATTAAGAGACATAAAATTTTCAATACTCATTGTAATTAAATTTTTAGGAGTTGAGAAATCGAGATATGTTAATTAGTTTTTTTAACTGGTGTACATTCTTTTTAAAAAGTAATCATTAAACTGGATTCATCAATGCGTCTCAATAGTCAACTACTCCTACCTCGTGAATGATAGAGCACATGGAGCAATAATACCTGAAAGAGGAATCAGGCAAGGCGACCCACTGTCGCCATATCTCTTCATCTTGTGTGGAGAGGTCTTATCAGGACTATGCCGGAAAGCTCAACTCAATGGTAGATTGCCAGGCATAAAAGTAGCCAGAAGATGCCCTCCAGTGAATCATCTCCTCTTCGCGGATGACCCAATGTTCTTCTGCAAGGCAAGCAGACGAAATTGTGACGCTCTGGTAAACATCCTAAAAAACTATGAAACAGCATCAGGGCAAAAGATCAACGTGGAAAAATCATCAATCACCTTTGCCAATAAGACTAATGGAGAAACGAAAACAATGGCAAAGGAAATTCTGGGAATCGCAAAAACTGGAGGCCAAGGGAACTACCTGGGCTTGCCCGAACATTTTGGAAGACGAAAAAAGGACCTTTTCTCCATTATTGTCGACCGTATAAGGAACAGATTAGTTAGCTGGTCAACCAAGTTCCTGTCTGGAGCAGGGAAGATGACGATGCTGAAGTCAGTCCTCTCAGCTATTCCAACGTATACGATGTCCTGCTTTAAATTGTCAAAAAGCCTCTGCAAAAGAATACAATCAGTGATGACACATTTCTGGTGAGATGATAATAAGGGAAATAAAAAGATGTGTTGGGTGGCTTGGAACAAACTCACCAAACCTAAACGAGACGGAGGCCTGGGCTTTAGGGATATTGAAGCTTTCAACGATGCACTTTTGGCGAAACTGAGCTGGCGGATCTTGATGAATCCTCAATGCCTTTTAGCAAGAATCATGTTGGGAAAATATTGCAAACACAAAAGCTTCTTAGAAGTGGGAGGGAAACAAACGGCATCACACGGTTGGCAAAGTATACTCATTGGCAGGGACCTCCTCAAGACAAACCTGGGAAAAGCCATTGGAGATGGAGAAGACACCAGCATCTGGAAAGAACCATGGCTATCTCTCGATAAACCGATAGCTCCCATGGGACCTGCTCACCAAGACACAGAGAAGCTAACAGTCTCAGAACTTTGGAATAGCCAAACAAAAAGCTGGAATAAGGAGAAGATACGACTTCTCTTACCCCAATGGGAGACAGAGATTCTACTCCTCAAACCAAGCTGCATGCAATTGATATCACCAAACGGTTTTTGCAAGATTCTTTGCCTTTAGAGGTAGTTTTCTTGTATTTGTGGGATTTGAAGTCTTTGTAGGTGAAATAATCAAAAAGGATGCAAAAAGGAGTAAAAGAGCCCTAAATCAAGATCCATGCAAGTTTCCAAGTCAAGAAGATCATTTTATCTCCAAGTGTTAGTTCTCGCTGCGCGCAGAACGAAGCTTCGGAAGTTTGGCCGCGCGCGGAGGAGTTCCCGACGTCCAAAAGTTACGATCTTGATATGGAAAGATAGATACTTGAGTCATGCATCACGTCGAAGTGGAATGAAGCCATTTGGATCAACTATGAGGCCTAGACTTATTTTCTACCGAGACATGTCCGGTAAGCGAGTAAACGAAGCCCATGGAGGATTTGGAGTGTCTAATGGCCCGAGCAGCAGCGCCAAAGGCCTTGATCGAATAGAGAAGAGGCCTGGCTAATGTTTGGAGCTTTCCTTGGTACAATGTCGGCCCATACACGACGTGGAGAAGAAGGCTTTGCTCGCGGGAAACTTTCCTTTTCCGGCATGAAGAAAACCCTACGCGACTTCGCCCATATATACATGTTTTTAGCCGCTGAAGAAGAAGAGTCGAGTATCAAAAAGTGTGAGAAGAGAGAAGAGAAGAGAAGCCCTAGGAGATCGTCCAAGAAGAAGGAGGCGCCGCTCAACTCTTGTTCTTTCTTTTTCATTGTTTCCATTTCTATAAACTTGATCTTAAGAGTTTTCAAGGGAGAATCCGACTTTGTTCATCAATAGAGAAGCTTTCTTCATCCCTTTATCTCTTTTAATACTTGCATAATGTTTACAATCATGCTTTGCTTGCTTGTTTGCATCATGGCCGAGTAGATCTCTTAGTTAGGCCGAGGAGATCTATGGTGGCCGTGATGATTTGATTGTGTTGCAACTTATTGGGATTTATCTTATGGATCTTCACCTTTACTTGAGCTTAATGCATGATTACTCTACCGTACATCTAGTAATCTGATCTTAGAGAAATAGAACCACGACAGTGCTGAATCTAGATCTCAAAACTAGTATTTGGTGAGCAATAGATCATAGCCAACGAAAGCTGAGTTATGGTTTATTGTGAACAATTGAATCTTGAACCTTGTAATGCATGTTTGCAATTCTAATAGCCAACGAAAGCTGAGTATATTAGGTTGTTTTAAACATAGTGGTTGGAGCCACGACAGTGGAAAGACCATACACTAGTGATTCATGTTCAAGACGGCTCTACACACATCCCATGCAACTATCTTTTCATCATTGCTCCATATGATTGTCCTTTGCCTAACTCTTGTTTTAAATTGTTTACAACTCACTCACATTTCTTTTGTTTTGTTTTCTCATTCTAGGTCCAAAACCACCTCATATTGCGAGCTAGCTACAAACCAATCTCACAAGGTGTTAAGTGAGAACACTTCCTCCTCGTGTTCGACCCCGACTACAACACGGCTGTGCACTTGCAGCTCATTAGTTGGGTTTATAAATTGTGAAAATTTGAGGCAATCTAAACCCGCCATCAAGCTTTCTGGCGCCGTTGCCGGGGAGGAGTTGCTTTTCCTTCACACCTCTTGATTGATTTCAAGACTAGCTCATCTCATCTTTCACTTTTCTTTGTTTTTGTTTTTCATAAAATCTTAAAAACTCATAAAAATTTTACTTAACTCTCTCTCTTTGTGTGTTTCTAAGGTGCATGACAAGAAGGTCCAATCCAAATACAACCATTGAAGAAGATCTTGACATTGACCAACTTGAGCGCACACTTAGGCGACTAAGGAGAGAAAGAATGAATCCAGGCGGAGAAGGCGCGCCAAATAGGCCACACAACCCGCCCGACCAAGAGAGGAGAGCCAATGATCCTCCTAATCCAGCAGAAGCTAGAGCTGACCAGCCAGCACCGGCCAGAGACGTTCCTCCACCCAATCCGAACGCGCCCGATGCAGCTGAGCCGCTACAGCCACCTCTTAACCCGCCGCGACCACCACCGGCGTTTGCAAATGGACATCATCGTCACGGTGACAACCAAGGGATGCCTCAAGACCAACCTCACGCACCTCCAAGGAGAGTGCCAAACGCGCAGCATCCAAGGCACCAAACTATGGGAGACTTTGATTCGTCCGATGCTTTCTTTATGGATCGGAATCCAATCCGACCGCCTCTACCTCCAAGGAACGATTTTGAGATCAAACCGCAGATCATTGCCTTGGTGAAGCAAAACCAATTCCATGGTTTGCCCACTGAGCATCCTCTTGATCACGTCGACACCTTTGAGGAGATATGTAGCACAACTCGTGTTAATGGAGTATCGCCGGATTACTTCAAGTGCAAGCTATTCACTTTTTCTCTAAGTGACAAGGCGCTAAGATGGGTAAAATCTTTACCACCTCAGTCCATTACAACATGGAATGAATACAAGGGAGCTTTCTTGAACCAATTCTACACTAAGCAAAGATCCAACTCTATAAGGAGCAAGATTTCTGGTTTCAAGCAAGATTCAATGGAGTCATTCTATGAAGCTTTGGAGAGATTCAAGGAGTACACAAGAAGCTGCCCTAACCATGGCTTTTCAGAAGGTAACCTTTGGAACATCTTTTACAATGGGATTGATCATAAATACAAGCTTTCTCTCGATACCGCGAGCAATGGTAATTTCATGACCAAGTCGGTGCCGGAGGCAAAGCTTTTGATTGAGAATCTCGCTGCTAGTGATGCCAATGCATGCCCTGACTACAATAGAAGCGTGAAGACCACGAGCTCATCAGAATCAGCTCAAATCTCGGAGCTAAGGAACATGGTTCACAACTACTTAAAAGCCGACAAGGAGTTCACGCCATTGAAGATGCCCTAGCCACAAATGAAGACACTCTTATGGATTTCATGAGAGATGGCACTGAAGAGAATCTAGAGGAAGTCAACTACATTGGAGGAAACTATGGGAATAGAGGATTCAATCCACCATTTCGCGCGCATCCAAACCTATCATACCGGAGCAACAATGTGGAGAATCCAAATGACCAAGTCTACCCCAATCAAGGAGCGTATCAAGGAGGCCAATACCAATCCAAGCCACAACAAGTCTATCCAAGAGGGATGTACCAAGTGAAGCAACCATTCACTTTTTCTCAAGAAACAAATCCAACCCAAACCGGAGAGAAGGTTGACGTGGCGTTGAAGAAATACATGGAGGAGCAGAGATTGATCACCAAGAACCTATATGAGAAGCTTGATCACATGTTTGGTGATCTAAGCAGCAAGTTTGGGTCTCTCTCTACTCACGTTCAAAAGCTTGAGGTGCAAATCGCTCAAACAGCCGAGGCGGCCAAGAAACAAAATGAGGTAAACACTCAAAAATTTTGTAGTGTTGTCTCATCTATAGATGGCACAATTGTTCCTACACTATCTCAAGGGGAAGAAGAAGAAAATGAGCCTAAGGAGAGGCACAAACCGGAGAGATACAGTTGGGAATCAAGAAGAGCTTACAAGAGAAGACTTGAAGGCAAGCCACTACAAAAACAAGAAGATCCGGGGAAGTTTGTGATAACTTCAAGTATCAATGGCATTCAACTCCACGATTGCCTATGTGATACTGGTGCTAATGTTAATCTAATGTCTCTTGCACTTGCAAAAGATTTGGGATTCAAGGAATTCAAGAGCCCCAAGATAAGAGTCGAGTTCGCGGATCTATCGTGCATGGAACCTATGGAATGCTTGAAGATGTCATGATGGAAATAGGGGGTCGATCGGTCCCAACTGACTTTCAAGTCATGATTTGGGAAGGCTCAAAGAGGAATCAACTGATTCTTGGAACCCCATTCCTTGCTACAGCTGGAGCGGTCCTAAACTACTTTGGGAATCATCTATCTTTTGGCCACATCCGGCAAGATATCTTTTTCCCAAGTGTAAATTTCAGGTCAGTGCCAAGTGCGACCAAGCTACCACCAGAAGAAGCCACTCTCACCTAAGAAAGAAGCCGTGATGCATGGAGAAAGAAGAGAGAGTGAGCGCTACCCAAAACCAAAGGAGAAGAAGAAAACATTGGAGCCGAGGCATGAAAATGTCTTTAAGGATCAACTCCATCTTACTTCCAACCTTTGATGAATATGGAGCTGAAGAGGAGACTAATGGTGCACCTAATCTCTTTCACAAGATAAGAATCTTTACACCAAAAGATTCGGAGCTTAAAGGTGACCAATCCATTGAAGAGAAGCTTGAGAGAACTATGAAGCTTTTCCCCAAGGCATTGGTTTTCAAAGATGATGTGAGAGATGACTATGGCGCGACAACACCACCACAAGAAGCCACTGAACCGGAGAATGGAGAAGCTAAAGGGATCCTTTGCCCTTCAGCCACTCTTCACCACGATTGAAAGAAAGAAAAGGAGTCAAGCTAAATGACTTAAAACAAAAGCGCTTTATGGGAGGCAACCCATATGGTTTTTAACTATCTATTTCTATTTTGCAGGAGTTTTTCAAAAATCAAACAAAAATACAAAAATATTTTCTTAGGATGAAGACCCAAAGGAGACCAAACAATGGAAGTGTCCCACCCAATGAGCCCACCCTTGTACAAGGCGTTTCTCTTCCAAAAGGTAAGTAAACTCTCACCTAGTATTCATTTCTAATCACTCTTGATCTTCACTTGAAAAATCGTTTAAACCATTGCACTTTATCAAATATATTTCATGGTTTAACTTGATTTACTTTTGATGATTGGAAAGAATACATAATCACTTGTCAAAACTCATTTTGCTCACTGAAATTACAAGAGATTGAACTATAGTTTGAAATTTGGATCATTGACCAAGACCAAATAAGAATTTATAGTTTGTGCTTTAATCTCTTGGATTGTGAACTTCAAGTTGGTCACTTGAGGATCACAATCTGAGAAACCATCTAATCATGATTTCAAGTGTTTTGCAAGGAGTTAACCATTTGACAGGAAGGAGAAATAAGCAAACCTATCAACCACCTAAAACCAACATGCATATGGCGGCCAAAGGGAGGTTAAAAGGAGATACATAGGCCATCACACGAAACAAGGCGGCCACCACTTGGGAATGACACAGGAGGGTTATTAAAACAATTCGGTCGAAGAAAATCTCAATTGGCCCGAGTGGATTTGAAGAAATTCAATCCGGACATTTCTCTCGGCCATACGCACAAGGAGACCAACTACGGCCAACTCCTAAACGGCGTGACCAAAGTCCACCAAACTTCACAGGCGACCATAAAATCACATTTGGTCGGCAAATCCAAAAGATAGGACGGAGAAATCATCACGGATCATGAGATAGACGACGGAGCTCATTCTGGCCGATGGCGCGCAAGCAATATGGCCGACAAAACCAAATCACGGCATAGGCGCGCCAACCGGTTGGAAAACTCTTCTTTGAGCTTAACTAACACTTTTATGCAGGAAGAAACGAAAAGGAACGAGCCAAACTTCACATGGCCAAGGAAACTCCTTCCCGGAGCCGACTTGACCATTTTGTGAAGGAAGTCTCAATCCGCTCGTACAAATGCTCCCAAACTTCACCAGAGGCTATAAAATACCAGGTTGGTCGATGAAATTTCAATATAGGTCATGAAATTTTTGACGGTTTGTTCTGTAGTTCACAGCACCACATTTTGGCCGACCGAATATACCAATCTCGGCCAAAACACAAACCGGCGGAAACCAAGGCCTGAAATTAAAAACTCACCGACCAATATTGCCTAAAGAAGTGTAGAATGACCCAAACCAGAACTGATCTTCATTATAAATTGGTCGACATTTGGTAACATCATCCTAAACCTTTTTCTTTTCAATTTTTCATTTGAACTTCATGTTATGCCTCTCTTAATCCGATTTGATTTCACCGGGACGGTGCAAGTTAAGTCTGGGGGGATTACTAACAATGTTTGTTCATTTTGGCATTTTCATTTGCATTTTTTCCCTTTTATCGAGTCGTTTTTATTGAGTCAAAATTTTTGTCGAGAATCATGACCTTATCTTGGATCTAACCATGGTTGTACTAATGTTTAAGTGACCATTGAGCAGTTCTTGGCAATACATCTTACCACAGGTGCACTATGAGTTGATCGATCTACCAAAAACGCCTACATCTCTAAAGACTTGAGAAGGATCCATCTTTGACTCCGCCCTTAATGAACTTAATCTTCTCAGCTAGGGGCTTGGCATACAAATGGCATGATTCCTCATCCTCTCCATCAAATGAAAAAGTCTTAGTGAGTTCGTGCTTCCCTCTCTCTCCCCTTCAAATTTAAAGAAAAAGCGTAAGGTCCAAGTAACCGGGGATTCGGTGGCAAACACCATCAATACTCGCGTCTATGGAAGGCCTATGAATCCAAGCAACCGGGGATTCGGTGGCAAACACCATCAATACTCGCGTCTGTGGAAGATCCAAGCAAAACCTCTATAATAAAGAGAAGGAGTTGAATAAAAAAATACTTCGCTACCCTAAAAAAGGGATGAATCAACTCAAAGAAGTGAGAAGAGAGAGAGGAGAAACATGGAGTAAAAGACAAGTGCCAAACAAGGGGATGAGAAAGAATCTAAAAGCCGGCTGATCGATACTCCCTAGTTGAGACCACACCTTTAGAAATGAAAGGAGTCAAGGGTGGCGAATTGGATTGTCCAAGGAGAGGTGGACCGCTTTGGGAAAATCGCAAAACTCATGGTATGTACTTTGTTCTTAATTCAAAACTTGCCAATGCTGTTTCATGTGGATTACTAAAGCATAAGTCAATTTGGATTTCCAAAAGATTTGAGAGTTCTCACGTTTTCAAACCTCTTTTCCTGCTTAGTTTGCTTGGGGACAAGCAAAAGGCTAAGTCTGGGGGAGTTGATATCACCATATTTTACATGATTTTACTATATAATTACTATGTTTTCAAACGGTTTTTGCAAGATTCTTTGCCTTTAGAGGTAGTTTTCTTGTATTTGTGGGATTTGAAGTCTTTGTAGGTGAAATAATCAAAAAGGATGCAAAAAGGAGTAAAAGAGCCCTAAATCAAGATCCATGCAAGTTTCCAAGTCAAGAAGATCATTTTATCTCCAAGTGTTAGTTCTCGCTGCGCGCAGAACGAAGCTTCGGAAGTTTGGCCGCGCGCGGAGGAGTTCCCGACGTCCAAAAGTTACGATCTTGATATGGAAAGATAGATACTTGAGTCATGCATCACGTCGAAGTGGAATGAAGCCATTTGGATCAACTATGAGGCCTAGACTTATTTTCTACCGAGACATGTCCGGTAAGCGAGTAAACGAAGCCCATGGAGGATTTGGAGTGTCTAATGGCCCGAGCAGCAGCGCCAAAGGCCTTGATCGAATAGAGAAGAGGCCTGGCTAATGTTTGGAGCTTTCCTTGGTACAATGTCGGCCCATACACGACGTGGAGAAGAAGGCTTTGCTCGGGAAACTTTCCTTTTCCGGCATGAAGAAAACCCTACGCGACTTCGCCCATATATACATGTTTTTAGCCGCTGAAGAAGAAGAGTCGAAATATCAAAAACGTGTGAGAAGAGAGAAGAGAAGAGAAGCCCTAGGAGATCGTCCAAGAAGAAGGAGGCGCCGCTCAACTCTTGTTCTTTTTTTTCATTGTTTCCATTTCTATAAACTTGATCTTAAGAGTTTTCAAGGGAGAATCCGACTTTGTTCATCAATAGAGAAGCTTTCTTCATCCCTTTATCTCTTTTAATACTTGCATAATGTTTACAATCATGCTTTGCTTGCTTGTTTGCATCATGGCCGAGTAGATCTCTTAGTTAGGCCGAGGAGATCTATGGTGGCCGTGATGATTTGATTGTGTTGCAACTTATTGGGATTTATCTTATGGATCTTCACCTTTACTTGAGCTTAATGCATGATTACTCTACCGTACATCTAGTAATCTGATCTTAGAGAAATAGAACCACGACAGTGCTGAATCTAGATCTCAAAACTAGTATTTGGTGAGCAATAGATCATAGCCAACGAAAGCTGAGTTATGGTTTATTGTGAACAATTGAATCTTGAACCTTTAATGCATGTTTGCAATTCTAATAGCCAACGAAAGCTGAGTATATTAGGTTGTTTTAAACATAGTGGTTGGAGCCACGACAGTGGAAAGACCATACACTAGTGATTCATGTTCAAGACGGCTCTACACACATCCCATGCAACTATCTTTTCATCATTGCTCCATATGATTGTCCTTTGCCTAACTCTTGTTTTAAATTGTTTACAACTCACTCACATTTCTTTTGTTTTGTTTTCTCATTCTAGGTCCAAAACCACCTCATATTGCGAGCTAGCTACAAACCAATCTCACAAGGTGTTAAGTGAGAACACTTCCTCCTCGTGTTCGACCCCGACTACAACACGGCTGTGCACTTGCAGCTCATTAGTTGGGTTTATAAATTGTGAAAATTTGAGGCAATCTAAACCCGCCATCAAGCTTTCTGGCGCCGTTGCCGGGGAGGAGTTGCTTTTCCTTCACACCTCTTGATTTGTTTCAAGACTAGCTCATCTCATCTTTCACTTTTCTTTGTTTTTGTTTTTCATAAAATCTTAAAAATCCATAAAAATTTTACTTAACTCTCTCTCTCTTTGTGTGTTTCTAAGGTGCATGACAAGAAGGTCCAATCCAAATACAACCATTGAAGAAGATCTTGACATTGACCAACTTGAGCGCACACTTAGGCGACTAAGAAGAGAAAGAATGAATCCAGGCGGAGAAGGCGCGCCAAATAGGCCAAACAACCCGCCCGACCAAGAAAGGAGAGCCAATGATCCTCCTAATCCAGCAGAAGCTAGAGCTGACCAGTGACGACAACGGTGGAACATCTCGAAACACAAAACTTCGCGATTTCTTTAAAGGAGGCCCGGAATTGGATATGTCTTCCTCCGACGGGACTGACAAAAGGAGCAATCTTCGCATGGAACCACAAGATCTTCGGAGACCGGAATTTCTCTCCAATCAACACAGTCACGAAGGCTTGTGCAGATGCGAGGGAGTGGAATGCAGCGCAAATCCAGGGAACGGAGAAGAAGAAACGGCCAACCCCTCAAGGAAACTCCCGAAGACATAATCACTCGATCACGGTTTTTGTTGATGCGGCCTGGCGAACGGATCTCCAAACAGCGGGTCTCGGCTGGGTTTTCATGAACGGCGACAACTCAGAGATTGTGAGAGGCCACAAAGCTAAACCTTGTGTCCGATCACCACTCGCGGCCAAGGCGCTAGCGATTAGAGAAGCCCTCCTCTATGCAAAAGCTCACGATTGGAACAACTTATGCCTCAAATCGGACTCGCAAACGCTCATCAGAGCCATCATCAATCGAGAAAAGGTAGCTGAGATCTATGGAATCCTACAAGATATCCACCAGCTAGCCTCGACTTTCACCTCGATTTCGTTCTTCTTTATGCAGAGATCGAACGATTTAGTTGCTGATTCTTTCGCAAAATTTGCATTATCGCACTTTGTTTCTAATGCCATTGAAACCACTGTTTAAGTTTCTTAATGAAATAGTCTGATGTTCAAAAAAAAAAAAGTAGTCATTAAATTTTTCAATCTTTTTCTAACTTGTATTCATTTTTTTAAGAGTCACAATTTAACAATTACGCGTTAGCATTAGAATAAACACCTGTCACCTCAACTTCACTTACCTTTTCGATTTTGCCTCAATTTCTTTGGATTATAAAAATTTTAGACACGTTTCGATGACGTGTTTACTTTCTTGAAAAGGTGTCGGCAGTTCTTTTACTCGTAGCCATGTGTTACCCCCAAAATACAGTGAATCATGTGGTTTATTAATACTAGCTATCTCTCACTATTCATCTCTTCCCTACAATCCTTTGGCCCTCTCTCTCTTGATCGATTCTTCACCTCTTCTCCAACGTCGATTACCCCTCTCTCATTCCTCACTAATCCGATTTATCAAGGTCCAAAGTCTACTCTCTTTTTTCTGGCTTAATCATATTTGATTTTGTATGTTTACAGAGATTGTGAATTTGTTTGGTACATCCTAGAATTGTCAATAAAGATCAGTAGGTCCGAGCCATGTTGGATTTAATTGAGTTTAGTCTTAATGTTTCTACGTTAGAATAAAGTTTGTATTAAACGTTGTCTTTGTAAAATCGTGACTTTTAGTTTAGGGTGTGTGAAGACACAACTCTTTGTGTTGTTGTCTTAGTATATAACCATGATGTAACACGATGTAACAAGACATCAAGTTTCAGATTAGTAAAAACCCATTCCTCGTTAATCTTCTTCTTCACAAGACAAGAGATAAGAGTTTATCTTTTGCTCTGTTTTTTTGTCTTTTTCTTTCTCTCTGTTTTCTAAACACAAAATCTAACATGGTATCAGAGCTTATGTTGGTCAAGGAACCTGTTTAAGCAAAGAGAATATGAAGAAGTCCGCTGCGAGAAGAAGAGAAAGATGGAGACTAATCTGAAAGAAATGAAGAAGAAGAAGAAAAAGAAGAGGCTCCAAAAGCGATGCATTGGAGAAATGGATCGGGGTTCTGAAACTTGACGATTCCCATAGTTGTTGGGAAGGCGATGGAAGAAACATCGCATGGTGATTCCCATATGTGATATGTGATGGGGATGATACGATTTCTGGCGTATGTAGATGACAAGCATCTTTAAGACCAGGAAGTTATGGTCGATTGAAGACGGGTTTCCGTATTGACCGACAAAGGAGGATGCTTACCTCTATGAAAAATGGAGCACTCGGTTGAAGAGTTAACCGAAGAAGACGTGGAGAGAGGATTCACGCATTGTTACGTCAAGGAGACGTTGTTGATGGTGATCCAAAGAAGACACCATAAGAGGATGCTTACCTCGGAGAAAAATAGAGCAGAAGAGGATGCTTACCTCAGGAGAAAAATGGAGCACAAAGAAGACTGCTTACCCAAGAGAAGAGGAGGCAGCAGACGGTTAGAGTTAACCAGAGACGTGAAGAGAGTCACGTTTATGACGTCATGGAGACGTTGATGGTGTTTAAAGAAAGACACCAAGTAAAAAAAAAATTGCTCATCTATGAGAAGAGGGAGCAGAAAACGGTTAGAGTTAACCGTAGAAGACATGGAGAGGATTCACGCGGAAGTCGTTAAGGAGACGTTGAGGGTGATAAACAGAAGTTTTGAAATCACCGAAGGAAACTGCAGAGGCGACAAAGGAGAAAAGGAATAGAGATTCCAATCCAGAGCATCTGCAGAAACAGGAACGGTTGAGACGTCATGGGATGTCGACGAACCGTGAGAAGAGTCTGAGAGACTTGAAGGAGACATGGAGAAGGCTCGTGGGTAAGAGAAACCTAGAGTTCCAATGTCTTGATGCTCACGCAAGAGTTGTGTGAAGCATGGTGAAGAAGACCGTGACTTTGATGAAGATGATGGTTCAGTCAATAGACACACGAGGAAAGTCTCACAAGGTCTGAAGAACCAAAGACACACGAGGAAAGTCTCACAAGGTCTGAAGAACCAAGGAGGTGTTTTGGTTTCAGACCGAAACTCAATTAAGAGGGAGTGTTGGATTTAATTGAGTTTAGTCTTAATGTTTCTACGTTAGAATAAAGTTTGTATTAAACGTTGTCTTTGTAAAGTCGTGACTTTTAGTTTAGGGTGTGTGAAGACACAACTCTTTGTGTTGTTGTCTTAGTATATAACCATGATGTAACACGATGTAACAAGACATCAAGTTTCAGATTAGTAAAAACCCATTCCTCGTTAATCTTCTTCTTCACAAGACAAGAGATAAGAGTTTATCTTTTACTCTGTTTTTTTGTCTTTTTCTTTCTCTCTGTTTTCTAAACACAAAATCTAACAAGCCACGCTTACCTTCTAAACTATATTAAAAATTAGAAATATTTGCTGAGCATATTGGTTTCTTCAAGTAATCATCAATATTTTATATCTCAAGTTCAATTCCTTTTGGCTATTTATCATTTCTTTTTTTAAATAAGGTCTTTGGAAAAAAAAAGTAAATCAAGAAAATTGTGTGGGTCTACAAATAAATAAAAATAGATCAAGAATCATAAATTGAGTATTCCATTTTTTTTTATCTTCTTTCTAATGCAATTTTGCATTTTTCTTCAATTATATGCATTATAGGGAGCTCATAGGCATGACATAAGCCCTTCATATCCTTATCCTGAAGCTTATTCAAGCACTTTTCCTCCAACAGATGGTGTGGTTGCGCGATTGGTACAAAATATCTATATTTCTTCAGTAGCTCAATGCGTGGCTGGTCCAAACTTGTTAGGTGTCTCATTTTTAGTGGATTATACCATTCTTATTGTTTCCAATTGGATGATTTTGTCATCTCACTGTACTAGAGCAAGATTTCTCCATCCGCACATTTCCCCATGAGAATTTTGTCCTGTCATATTTTTCCGTCAAGCTTATGCTCATGCTTTATTTTTGAAAACTCATGATTTCTAATGTCTATGTTGCAGCTCGGTTGTCCCATTCGGTCCGGGAAAAAGTTTTTCTTCTTTAGGCCTTCACTCTTTCCATCACAGCCTTTGATATCTCAAGTCTATCCCGAGATAGGTATCACAAGTCTTGATATGGGTATCACATTCTTTCCATCTTCTAAGAACGTTCATATGGGTCTCTCCCCCATCTTTTAAGACTGTGGTTTGTCTCATTTGATGCTTCATGGTTTATTTTCATGTCGCCCCTCTTTGAGGTTCCTCACTGATCTTTTCTTATCCTCAATGCCCATCATTCTCATAACCAGTTCCATCTATTAGGGTTTTCAATAACTAAGGATTTCTAATGTCAAAACCATATCTTAACCAATATCTTTGCATATTGGTCATCAATCCTGGTTTGACCTTGACCACTATAGTAAGTTAAGTTTTTCCTAACTTTGCTAAAATTAATTAGATTATACATAATCTTAAGGATATTGGCTCTTGTGTTTTATTTTCTCCTGAAAATAGAACCATCAAAATTTCCTTCTACCAAATTGTTTCCCAATAAGGGTTTTTAAAACGATGTCACTACCACTTTACCAAACTCAATTTAATCAACCAAAACAATTCTATTTACTATACCAACAAGCAAGCAAGAAAATAACCTAAATACCTTTTTCGGCATGAGGTTCCTAGCTTATCCTAACTTCTACGGTTCTTACTTCCTGATTGCCTTTTTGTTGTCTAGCAAGTTACCTAATCAATCCAATAGAGTAAAAGACTAGTAGCGGTCTTCCTGGGCTCAAGGTCTGGGCTCAGGGTCTAGTTGGTCGATGGCTGATACTTGGATGGTTGCTGGGACAATCTTCTGAGTAATGACCTTTCTCTCCATATGTAACACATTTATTGTGCATCGGCGTCAATCAGGGAATGTACGCGGAGATTGGGACATGCTATACTATGATGCCCGTTCTTCCCCACTGGTCACACGGTAATGAGACTTGAGATGGTGTTGTAACTCTGATAATGACGAGTATTTGGGGAGATCTTCCCCTTAGGCAGCTTGTTCTTGATAATTTCATTCCGCTTGAAGGTTCACCATTTCCGAAGCCATGAGTCCATCTAATCCTTCTATGAAATTTTGGTCTCTACCATTTCTTTGCCATTCAGATTCTATGGTGTCTTCCTGTGTAGTTTGGCTCAGACCCGGTATTCTATAGTTAGCTTCATGGTTAAATGCGACAGACTCTCCGTACGTCATGCACATGTTTTCATAATTTTGCTTTTGGTCGTAGGGTATAGTTCCATCTCCTTGTCTAGTTGTTGGTGTATCTCTGCTAATCTCATTGAGTTTGCTTGTACAATATGTTGGTGATATGTTATGGTGTCCAAGATACTCTTCTCATGTAGGCTCTAGTTCGCCAATCCGAGTTTTGAAGATTTGACTATTGAGGCAAGCATATATATACTGTTGGGTTGTCTTTAGTTGTGTGTGAACTTCAATTGTGTGTGAGATATTCTGTATCCATGTACATAAACATGTGGCATTGGGATATAAGATAGCACATTTTGCGGGCTATCCATATCCCACAAGTTTACTGTTATTTTTCTGAGAGTGATCTTGATTATCTGAGTAGACAATATTATGGTTTCAATGTTGGGATAGTGTGTCGGTAAGAGAGGTTTCTTGCTCGGTGCCTGAAGTGCACTATGATCGCTATCTTTATTGGTCATTTCATTCGTTTGTACAATTGTGTTTTGTCTTGATAAGAAATAAACATTCTCTTCTCTGTGTCTCATCACTACCATTACGATTTATTAATTGGATATCCTAAATTGGTGATCTCTAAAATGTTCTCCAATTTATTGGATGGTTCAGAACTTGACGATCCATACTTGATCGTCCCAATGGGAGACAAGGGTTGTGGTATAGTATGAGGTACGTTGGGACGGTTAAGTCTGAAGAACTATTCAGTAAATCGGAAAACAGGTTTGTGGTCACCAACGTAGGATATTCAAGACCAATGGATCTATCAACAAATGGCGACGGTAGTGATGAGAAAGAGAGTGTGTATCTCTTACCAAGACAACACACAATTTTTACGACCGCGCGCATGAGATGACCAATGAAGATGGCGATCATATGTCCTGGCCGATACACTATAACAACATGAAAACCATAATACCGTCCACTCACATTATCGAGATCAGTTTCAGAAAGACAACACTAAACTGGTGGGAAAGGGAAAGCCAGCAAAAAATTTCTATCTTATATCCCAATGCCACATGTTATGTACATAGATACAGAGTCTATCCCACACACTAACTGAAGACAACTCGAAGGACTATATATCCCTTCATTTCAACTGGAGAAGAAAGCGAAGAATCAATAGTAAACTCTTCAAAAACCAGATTGTAAAACCAGACACACTAGAGCCTACATGGGAAGAATATTTTGTACACCATAATATATCACCAACAGACCAGAAAACTCAATGAGATCGGCGGAGATACATAAAAAACTAGATAAGAAGATGGGACTATACCCCAAGACCAAGGGAAAGATTATATTATGTACGGAGAGTGAGTCGCATTTGACATGAACATAACTATAGAATACCAGATCTGAGCCAAGACATATAGGAAAAGACTCTGAATGGCTACGGAATGGTAGAGACCATAACTACATGGAATGATTAGATGGACTCATGGCTACGGAAATGGAGAACCTCAAGGGGCAAGAACTTATCAAGAACAAGCTCAGTCTAGTCTAAGGGGAGATCTCCCCGAAGAATCGCAAAGATGAGAGTTACAGCACCATCGAAAGTCTCATTACTATGTGACCAGTGCGGAAGAACGGGGCATCATAATATGGCATGTCCTATTGTATGTGTACCTTCTCGAATGACACCGAGGCACAACATCTGCCTTACATGTGGAGAGAGAGATCATTACTCATAAGACTGCCTCATGAACTATCCAATTACTAACCGTTGACCGACTCGCTGGACAACAAGAAGAATCGCTGGAAAGGCGATCGGGAAGCAAGAACCGTAGAGGTTAGGATTAGGTTAGGAACTCTAAACCTCACGCTGAGAAAAGGTAGTGTTGAGCGACCATGAGTTTTCCGATGGACGCGATTGCTAGACGAGTGTTGTTCATTGAGACTTCGATCGGCGTTCCTTGGAAGTTTCTGCCGTGGATTGCTTTGTTTCTCGAGACGTCGATTAACGAATTTTCATTGACGGAGTTGATCTCGTGCTCAATCCATTTCCGCTCATCAGCTCCGCAAAACCGCCGATAGAATCTCCACCATAACAGAGATGATGTTTGTTTCGAATAGCACCATCAACGCCATTCCAGATCTAATTGATGTGCCATCAACGGACCAAGTTCTCACCACAAGTCGATGATTGCTTCCAATCAACATCGAATCACCAAATCGCCATAGAAGACCAATGGAGTAGAGAGAGGGAGGAGAGAGAATGTAAAGTAAAAAATGAAGAAAAAAAACGTGATTTGTTTCTTCTCATTAACGAAGATCCAATCATCTTCTGCCACGTGGCACCTAAACACTATGCTCAAATAAGCGTTTACTTCTCGTTTTTAATTTAACTTCGATTTAATTTTGAGCTTAGCGTTTCATTAAGCGCCCCCATTGCACATGTTCGAAGAGCTGCCGTATCTCAGAACCTATGATCGACTCTTAAGCAAAAAAGAAAAAGAAAAAACGTCTTTATTTATCTATGTGGCATAAAAACATGTGAGAACCGTCTCTTATAGAAGAGATTTTGGAGCGGACTCCAATTACACTGCTCACACCCACATGTCGCCTCCAGAATTGCCCGCCATATTTTCACCCTTTTGTTAATTTGTTTGTTTTTTTCTGATTTCGTTGAAATCTCTTTTCTCGTTTTTTCCCTCTTCTTCACCGGCGAAAATCTCTTCCTCCACCATCTGGATAGATAAAAATGGTTGTGTCGTTGTCTTTTCGCATTCTCGCTCCAATTCTCTGCTTCTAGTGTTTTTCTTCTTCCTTCTTTAGCTTCTTCCGTTTCGCAAAAGCTCTCTTTCTCTTCTAGCCTTTTTGTGTCTGTCTGCTGTGTAACGTCGAGGAAGATTCTGGGTAAGGTTTTGTTTCTCTCTCTCTTTTTGATCTTTCATCGCACATTTTGGTTCAGATTGTGGAGAAATTGCTTTAAATCCGAGAATATTGATTTGAATTTTTGTTCTTCTTCAGGAGGGAGCTTGAAAGATCTGGGTTTTAGGGTTTTTACTGGTAAGATTTTTGTTTTTGTGGAGAAACTGACAGAAATCCGAGACTATTATTCACTTGTTCGGTTGAGCTCAGAACGAATTTGGGTTTTAGGGTTTCTATAGAATTTGTAAAATTTTGAAAATTGGTTGTAGAAAAAAGCTTGACGCTGTTTGTGCTGTTCTAGGTAAAGTTTCGGAGTCAAAACCATGACTGGAAAACCATAAGATCTTTGTGACATATCGGGGAAGAAGAAGGTGTTATCGGCGTCAAGCAGTATGTCTGATCAAGAGGAAATGTTTAGGATCACATATGAGAGTCTGAAGGAGGATCATGAGAATTTGAAACAAGATTACGCCAGTCTTGAGGAAAGGTTTAAGATTGTAGATGAAATGAATTGACATGTTGAAGTTGCACCGTCAGAATCAAAACAAGGATATCGAGCCGGAAAATCCATGCTTGCTCAAGGATCTTGAGAGCGAGAGGAGTGAGAAGAGCAAGATGGTTGAAAAGATTAAGAGAATGGAGAGTGAGAGAGGTCGTGAAAGAGAAAGCGGAGTTGGAAAATTTGCTTCTTTAGAACCAAGCTAAGGAGTTCGAGGCAAAAAATCTACGCCTGCTCAAGGAACTTGATAGGGAGAGTAGGGAGAAAGACAAGATGATTGAGGAAATGAACATAATGGAGAGCAAGAGAGAGGCTGTGAACATTGAGCTGAGGAATAAGACGGATGAGCTCAAAACAGTGAAAAAAGAAAGTGGATGAGGAGATAAAGAAGGTGAAGGATAACTTAATTGAGCTAACAGAGAAATTTGGTGAGGTTGAAAAGGAGTGTTCAGACGTGAAGTCACTCTTTGATGCTGAGAAGCTCACCGGTCTAGGAGAGTGAACAATGTGACTTTAGACAATGAGGTGATTGAGGTGGATCATACAAAGGCTTATGACGATGACGTGATTATATTGGATGTGTTTAATAACGTCAACAACACTATGATAGGTACGTTTAAATGATAGATTTTGCATATCTTTCAATTAAACATACCTGTCATATCTAAATGATAGATTTTGCATATCTTTCAATTAAACGTACCTATTATAGTGTTGTTGATGTTATTAAACTCAACCAACATATTCACGTCATCGTCATAAGCCGTATGGTTCCTTGTATGATCCCCCTCAATCATTTCATTGTCTAAATCCACATTGTTTACTCTTATACCGGTGAGCTTCTCATTATCAAAGAGTGACTTCACGTCTCAACACTCCTTTTCAACCTCGCCAAATTTCTCTGTTAGCTCAACTAACTTATCCTGCACCTTCTTTATCTCCTCATCCGCTTTATTTTTCGCAGTCTTCAGCGCATATGTCTTATTCCTCAGCTCGATGTTCACAGCCTCTCTTGCTCTCTATTCTCTTTATTTCCTTAATAATCTTGTCCTTCTCACTTGTCTCCCTCTCAAGTTCCTTGAGCAGGCGTAGATTTGTCGCCTCGAGCTCCTTAGCTTGGGTCTGAAGACGCAAATTCTCCAGCTCCTCTTTCTCTTTCACGGCCTTCTCTCACTCTCCATTCTCTTCAACCATCTTGCTCTTCTCACTCCTCTCGCTCTCAAGATCCTTGAGCAAGCGTGGATTTTCCGGCTCGATATCCTTGTTTGATTCTGACGATGCAACTTCAACATGTCATTCATTTCATCTACAAGCTTAAACCTTTCCTCAAGACTAGCGTAATCTTGTTTCAGATTCTCATGATCCTCTTCAGACTCTCATATTGATCCTAAACAATTCCTCTTGATCAGACATACTGCTTGACGCCGATAACACCTTCTTCTTCCCCGATCTGTCACGAAGATCTGATGGTTTTCCAGTCATGGTTTTGACTCCGAAACCTCACCTAGAACAGCACAAACAGCGTCAAGCTTTTTTCTACAACCAATTTTCAAAATTTCACTGATTCTATAGAAACCCTAAAACCCAAATTTGTTCTGAGCTCAACCAGTAGGAAGAACAAGTGCATAATAGTCTCGGATTTCCGTCAATTTCTCCACAAAAACCAAAATGGACAAAGGAACACAAATCTTACCAGTAGAAACCCTAAAACCCAAAAACCCAGATCTTTAAAGCTCCCTCTTGAAGAAGAACAAAAAATCAAATCAATAGTCTCGGATTTATAGCAATTTCTCCACAATCCGAACCAAAATGTGCGATGAAAGATCAAAAAGAGAGAGAGAAACAAAACCTTACCCAGAATCTTCCTCGATGGTACACAGCAAACAACACAAAAGGGCCAGAAGAGAAAGAGAGCTTTTGCGAAACGGAAGAAGCTAAAGAAGGAAGAAGAAAAACACTAGAAGCAGAGAAAAACGGAAGAAGCTAAAGAAGGAAATATTCCGCCGGTCGGACCAGTTTAACCAAGAACCGGTACCTATCCCGGTTTGATTTTATTGAAAAACCGGAAATCTAATTGACCCAAAAAAACCGGAGAAAAACCGGTGAAAACCCGGAAACCGGCCGGTTCGATTGAATTAGTAAACCCGGTTTTGTTTTTATTCACTTTTAAAACCAGAAAACAGATTGTTTTTGTCCTTTATGAAAACCTGTTTTAAGATTTTTTAAGCTCCGATTGAAAACTCCACGCAATATCCTAGCATTGAATCGACTGAATCCTAAAATCTGATTTAGGATCATGAACAAAAACAAGAAACCGTAGATCTAAGGGAAATAATAAAGTTGGAAAAACTAATTTACAGAAACTTAGTAAAGAGAAAAGGTAAGGAAGGAGAAGAAACAGAGATGAGATGGGTGGGAGGCGGCTTAGGAAGAAGAAGATAAATTAGGGTATTCGTTATTTGATAAATAAAACAAAAAGATAAAAGTATCAATCACATTAATGATTAATATATACTCCTATTTAAATATTAATTGCCATATATATATATATTGAAAATCCGGTTGAACCGGTTGGACCGTGTTTACCCATGACCCGAAGGTTTTTCCGGTTCATCTTCCGGTCCGGTTTTAAAAACACTGCGGATTGAAGTGCAAACACATTTTATATGAAAAATGTTATTGAAAACTTGAATCAGATATCTCGACCTTCCACCACGAACTTGAAAGGTTTAAGGATAAATATTTGATCGTAAAATATAGTTCTATTAAAATAGCTGTATTTGTTTTTTTGAAAACCCCTTTGGGTATCTCACAAGTGGAGATGCTCCAAAAATCTCGCTGCAAAGGAGTGCCCTAAATTTGTCCATAAAAGAGAACAAAGGCATAAGCGATCTCTCCATTACGGAAGAAATTTGGGAATTGACCTCTCCAAGGAAGAATTTGGAACGTGATATGAACAAGATGTGAGTGGACTCGCTATTTGAAACAAGATTGGCCAGACCCAAAATTGTGCATCTCCGGAAGATAATAGAGAAGGACATCGACAAAATGCCTTTGCCCAAAAAAAGAAGTTGCTCATGTAAATTGGATATGACGGCATCAGCAGATGGGGATTTTGATTGGTGGTGGAAGGTTTGGAGATGATGTCAAAGGTTGAGGTAAAAGGACTAGATTCAATGACGGCCAAGATCCATAAAGGTCGGGAGGACCAGGTGGTTTAGTAATTCTTGAGCGTTTATGAAGGACATCACAAATAGAGTTGGAGACGGCTAGAGTGGGTTCTCCTTCCCCACATATAGAAGTTTCGAAGGAAGAAGGCCCTATGCGGTGGCGAGAGACATTGAGCTCGGGACGAAATGTCAGGCCGAGAAAGCTTGGTTCAAGAGATGGATTTCTTTGGAAAAAGGGAACGATGGAGGGAGAAGAATCTTCCGGTCAGGCAGAGCAGCGATCAGTTGAACGGCATCAGGGGAGCTCAGGACCAGAGGGGAGACGAGATCATAGACTCCTTCTGTTTAGAAAAGCTGCAATGGACGACGTCCTTGGGGCTCGTGTCATACAAAAAATGAAACTAAGAGCATCTCATTTGGTAAAATACTCGTAAAGTATCTCACTAATGCAATAATAATATTTTAAGATTTTTTTGTATTGAGAACTTCATCATAAAATTATGTCTCCATTGATGAGATATGAAGATAATTGAATAATTATAATATCATTTTTTTCATGTTAAATTTTATATTCTACATGATTTTAACAAAGTATAAAAAAAAAAATTCAAATCTTATTTTTTAATAGTAAATATAATTAATAATTTTAACTTATATAAATTAAAATAATACTATGATAGAATTTAAATATATGCATAATGGAACTTGATAGATATATAATTTTATTTTATGATTCATAAAAAAATGAAAATAATAACATACAAGAAATTTAATTGATATTTTAAACTATTGTGTATTTTTTCCTTAATTTGTATTAACTTTTATCATGAGATACCCATTGAAATACTCTCAATGGGTATGCTCTAAAGTATATACATGTAAAAAAATAACTCTCTAATGTATTTTATTTTATTTATGATTTATGTTTTGTATTCATAATAAAATTATGTATAGAAATATTAATTTACAAAATTAATTGACAGCGACTGAATTAATCTGGATCCATTATATATTACTAGTTACCAAAGAATCTTAATTAAAAATAAGAAACCAACTCTATATTAACTGAAATAACATATTTACCTCATAATCATAATTTTTTTATTTGTACCTATAAATAATATAAGAATTTTACAAATTCTCATTTATAACCTGTTTTTCATTAATGTGATACCAATTTGATGAGTGATCCACTTTTCTCTAATATCACTAATACTCTTAAAATTATTTTTGTTTTTAATAATTAATAAAAAAACAAAATTGTTTTACCTTTGTATCTTTGCACCCTTTTAACATTTTGTCAAATGTCTACCAACGCTCTTAAAAGTATACTACCGCTTGTTAAAGGTTTGCCACTGCATAGGTAAATTAAGAAATGCAAAATATATGTCACTAAAAAAATTAAAAAAACGTGTTTTCCTTTACTTCTTTTATTTTGAAGTTTATGTTTGATTTTAATGTTACATATCGATTTATAAGTAAATATTATAACCTCAGTGGAAAACTAACACGGCCAAAAAAATACTAATCATAACATGATTCTATTCATTATTAGCACAAAGGAAAAAAATAGATAACACATTTATATTAAACAAAAGCTAAGATTTCAGAATTCATGTGGCAAATCAAAGATTTATTAGTGATAAATACATGAATTTAGGATATTTAAATTTTGATAACATACTAATCTAAATGATAAAATGGAAAACAATACTTACAATGAATAGCGTGATGAAATTTTAATAGTAAAAACTCTGTCGGAGATCCTACTGTAAGATTTTTGTGCGCAAATGAGCACACAATGAGAAAATATTACAATCTCATAGAAAACTAACATGGACAGAAAAATACTGAAACTCATAACATGTTTTCTAAGTACATAACACATATACCTTAAAACAAAAGGCTACAATTTACAAGAAAAATATTACAATCTGATAGGAAATTAACATGGACAAAAAAGTATTAGAACTTATAACATGTATTCTAAGTACATCATAACACATATATTAAACGAAAGCTAAGATTTCAGTAGTCATGTAACAAATAAAATATTTACTACCCATAAAAATATGAATTTAGGATATTTTAATTTTGATATCATGATCTAAATGTTAAAATGAATGATGTAATTCAAGAGTGGAATACTTACAATGAATAGCTTGAAAAACCTTCAATAGCAAAAACTTTTGACGGAGATCTAAGTGTAGGATTTTTGTGCGCCGAAGATGACGATAAACGGCGATAAAGAATAGACTAGATTGATGTAGGTTAAACAACTATATAACATTTATATACACATTTCTATGTGCATCAAATATATATGGCCTAAAGCCCACATAAAGCCCAAAATATACCCATATTAATACAAAATAAATTGTAATTTCTTTGATGGTTAAACTTGAATCTTTTTGGTCATTTTATAGATGGAAAATGTTATAAAGAAGGAAGAATACTGTTTTAACATCAGCCGAATCAGTTTCAATAACAAACTCAATAGACCATGAAGAATACACTGGCCAAGAGTGATGTTAACAAAGGATATAAGAAACTTATTCTGGCCAAGATACTCATTCGAGAACACATTGAGAAACATATCCTTGAAGCAGATTACAAAAATGCAGAAGACTCAGCTCAGACAGGACTCGAGGTTAATGTGCATGAATGATGCTTGACTCCGAAGATGGCACACGAGATGTGTCTGGCTTTACATTAAGACTATGTTCTCAAACGTAAATGGATCAGAAGTTTTGTGGTAAGGAGAGTGTTGAAGGGAGGAGATGAGATTGGACTCCTCTGGAATAGTTCTACTTCAAAGCTTAACTTGGAGTGATCTCTCGTGTACTCGCAAAACCCATTGCAGCTGAAGAGAAGAATAGTTGAATCTAGTAAGTGTCTCTGCATTTGGAAAAACATTTTTTACCAAGTGAAGATAATTTTTTTTTTTTTCCAAACAGTACTTTTAGTGTGTGTGTGTGTGTGTGTGTGTGTGTGTGATATATGTTTTGGTCGCCAACTTATCAGGGACCATTTGATGCGTTGTAGACAAACAATAACAATTTTTCAAGTGTTGAAACCAACAATTTTCTAGTGATTCGTTGCATATCATCTTTGTATATCAGTATATGTAGAAGAAGACACTCAAAAGCAAACACTAAATGAAAAACTTTCCCATGAATATGCAGAGTAATCTCAGACTTCAGATGAAAGAAACCTAAGAAGCTATCCCTATTGTTTTATCTTTGCAGCATCATACTCTTGTCCATGATATACCAAGTTAGAGTGAATTAGAAAATTTTCAACCTTTTGCCACTACCATACACTCTTAAGCTGAGAGAGAGACTTGGTTGTCCCTTTAAATTATTTCTGGTATTTGATCAATTGTTACCTCTATACAAATTTGATCAGTTTCAAGTATGTACAAATGAAAAATTAAAGGCATATGTTATATGAATAAGAGCTTCACATAGTCATTAATTACAACCTTACAAGCATTGTCCATGCATATATGTGATGAAGAAAATCAAGTTTTTGACTCGAGCTAGTTTTAGAATCCCTGAAACGAAAAGGGATCTGAACAAAGTCAGTCATTATAAGTAAAATTATTCAATTGTACAATCAAACCTTAGAATTTCATGAATGATTAGTCCACTGCGACACTAGTACAACTACAAATTACAAACAAAAGCTTTAAAATTGCATAATATAATTTCATAGATTTTTCAAATTTATATCATTGATATATTACATAGTTTGTTAACTATGCTTCTAAAATTTCATATTTTACATATATAACAAGTTTTTTATTCAATTATTCACAACATTTGAAACATATATAATGACGTAATGAGCATACTATTATATACAAATCCTTATTTTCAAATGCAACTTTTGCAGTGGTAATTTGGTTGTAATTGTAGAAGTTTAAAACTCCTTTTTCTCTGAGTTTCAAGATTTAAATAAGATTTTTTTTTGTTAAATGATTTAAATAAGATAACATATGATGAATCTATAATTTTATGGCATAAACAACAAAAAAACAAAATCATATGGTAGCAAAAGAATTTGAGAATCATATATCGCAACAGATGGTAAAATCTAATGAGCAAGTTCTTAATATTCTCCCCCATATCCTTGACACCACATGCGTTCAACTCGTTGTCGTAAGTAGGATAAAAAGCCAAGGATTTGAGAAAATATATTACATTTAAAAAGAAATTTAATACATTTGGCATCATGCACCGAAAATTAGAAGCCAGAGAAAGAGTTTTAACGATGGAAACTAGGGTTGTCTGCTTATGTCCCTCTATACTAATACGACTTCGGCCTCTATCCATCCATACTCTTTACATTTGTCCAATTCCACCTAATCTATTAAATTTCTCTATATTCTTCTAAATTTAAATAAAAACTAAAATTGCGATCAATTCATCGATCAAATAGCGTTTGCGAGGAAATATGCAGAAATCAATTTGTTTAGGGGAGAATATGCAGAAGTATAAACATTGCTTGTTGAGTTAGGGGAGGACGGTGTTAGAGAGTCAGTCAAAGATAAGATCTCATTCATCTTTATGACTCAATATTCCACATCTCAGTTTTAGGAACATTCTGTAATTAGCTAAGTCTAGAGTCTTCTACACTCTTGTATAAATCATCACTTGCACCTATATCAGAGATTTAATGATACCCTAGTTTTTTTTTTCTCTCCGCCTCCCTCTCTTCTTCTTCATCTTCCTCCTCTTCGTTTTTCGTCGTACTCTTCTCGTCACCATGGCTGCAACTAAAGACCATTGCTGACCAAACACAATCTCTTCTCCACATCCATATGTTCAACACCAGCAAATTCACCTCCACAAACTATGCTCTGTTGGATGGTTATGATGATGAGCATGTATAAGTTATGAACTGAGCAAAATTTGCTATCTACTAAGATATAGTCAACATCATCCAATGTTGGCTGGGTGAGTCATATCTGCAGTGGAGATTTCTTCAATAATTGAGCACATTCCCATGTTTTACAGAGGTACATATTTTGTATCGAAAGAAGCAATAAGTCAACTCAATATAATCAGTTTTCGTGCCTGTTTTTAATACAAATGTAAGGGTAAGATATTTACATTGACCCAAAAGTAGTGGACATATTAATATTAGGGTTTTGTGCAAAAAAAAACTCCAAACTAAACTATTTTTGCAAAAAAAACTCTCACTTTTAAAATATGCAAGTCAAACCACTCACCTCAGAAGTCACCCGCAATATAGCCCCTACCTATATTGACCTATATTGATGACGTGAAATATTTTTTTTTAAAAAAGTTTTGTGAAAAAAAAACCTCAAACTATTTTTTTTGTAAAAAAGCCCTCGTTGATGTTGAAAAAATCGTGTTATTTTCAATTTGCATAAAACCTTTAAATAACTATTTACTGTTTTCAAGATTTTAATATAATTTAGTTTGAGGTTTTTTTTGCACAAAATCTTTTTTTTAAAGAATGCCACGTCATCAATATAGGCAGAGGCTATATTGCCGGTGACTTTTGAAGTGAGTGGTTTGACTTACATTTTTTGAGGTGAAGGTTTTTCTTGCAAAAATAATTTAGTTTAGGAGTTTTTTTTGCACAAAACCCTTAATATTATCACACAAATATATCTTTTTAGATCTAGTTTTTAGAACTAGTGGACCTTTTGTTTTTGTCAATCACAATTATATTACAAGTCTAATGTTGTTTACACGTGCCAGATCTTTAAACAAACGAAATTGTAACATTTCTAAAATAATAACATTTCATGCCAAACAAATCAGCGTAAGAAATTTAAAAGCATTTATTTTCGTTTTAACTTTATATTTTGGTTAAATGGTACTGTCTACAAAAGTTAAATTCAAATATTGGGGGCAACAATTTCATTTCAAAGCATCAAATGGGTTTATGGAATATAATTATAGCTTGTGCATGATAAGATGAGCACCAAACTGTGGATGAGTAGTGAAGACTGAGTAAGGCGCATGAACATATGTAGGAGATAGCTCCAAGGAGAATCTCTGTAGAAACAAAGCCATTGCCATCTTTGCCTCCAACATGGTAAAGTTCTGTCCAATGCATATCCTTGGTCCCCACGCAAAGGGAAAGAAAGAGACTTGGCTCTTTGTTGCTTTGAGATACCATCTTTGAATCTCTCAGGCTTGAATTCCGCTGCATCGGTGCCCCACAGCTCTGTGTCGCGGTGGACTAACATAATAGGTAGACTTATCTGAACGCCGCTTGGTAGCGTCAGGTCGCCTAGCTTAACCTCTTTGTGAATGGCTCGGGTCAGTTGGGTTACTGGAGGATATAGCCTTAAGACTTCATAGAATATCATTGTCATCTGCGAGGGATCAAATCATTCAGCAAAATTCAAAAAATACGCAAGAGTACTGAAGTTGCTTTATACTTACAACTTTGAGCTGGTTCAGCCCATCTGTATCAGGTTCTCTATCGCCAAAAACTTGATTTCACTTCTCTCGTGCGCGAGCTTGCCAGTCTTGGTGTTGGCTTAACAGAACCATTGTCCAGACAGAAGTACTGAAGTTGTCTCTTGCCCGGCGAAATAGAACAACTTGCACTCCTCCATCACATCCTCATGCTCATTCCGTGTCCTTTAGCTTGCCCCAAATTCGATTCAAGAAGTGTACCAAGCAAATCATCGCTTGGTGCTTCCCCAGCTTCTCTCCCCCTTAACCTTTTGTTAATGATCCCTCTCAGTATTTGGATTTCTCTGGCTGCTCTTTCATCCTTCTATTATTTTTCGTTGGGAGATATCTAAGCAAACAAAAGAACAAAGATTATGACACGATTTGATTAATGTCTCCTAATACTTTGCAGTCAGAGTCAAGCCAAGAAAGTTGAGGTTCTATTACCTATATCCAGGGATGAAAGCTCCTGTACTGATGATATGATGAGCTGTGATAGTTCCGCTTGGAGCTCAAATATCCTCTGCCCTTCTTTGTAACTACTGCCAAAAGCAGTACGAGAGATCACATCTGCCGTCATACTCACAAGCGAAGGCCAAACGTCCACCTCACATGATGACCCTTTATCCGAGACTAACTTGTCCCCATTCGCCAACAACCTCGCTGCAGCTTTGGTGGAACGCAGGTACCATATTCTATACATAAGCAGAAGGACAAAGTGGGTCAGAGGCAAATAAGAAGCAATGTAACTTGCTTTCAGGTTATGAAATAAGAAGGCCTAACCTTGATCTTCTCAAGGTGGAAAGCGGGTTGATGATTCTTCGGTGTTTTGCCCATTTATCACCGTCATAACTAAAGAGTCCAGTGGCAATCAATCTGCTCAAAGGGAATGTATGTGGCTTTGGAAATCATAAATTTTGTTGAACACTTCCTTGATTTGCTCAGGATCCATTATAGTGATGGTTGGTGTAGGTCCAAACCATGTAAAGAATGTCCTTCCTGTCCCAACCACCAAAGAGATACAAAAGTTTGAATTTTTCAGTATCAGGTCCTTTTTAAATAGTGTTGCTGCTCCCCATATCTCTAAGTAAACAGATTGGAATAAAGAGTTATATAAGCTAATCAGAAACATACCATGAGTCTTGAGCATTTGCAAGGGATAAGGCACGACACGTGGTCGGATATCATCCGTTAGTTGATGGGTTTGGATCTTGCCTCCCTCAACATGGTGAAAATTCCTCTTCAAATCGCCGACGAGAGGCGTGTAATGAGTTCCGGCAAGACCTTGTCTTCTCAGGTAACTCTCAAGCATCTTAGGTTTAAACCAAACCCACTCTAGAGTTCTCCATATCCACCACAATACAACAGCTATAGCTACTGAAACTATTACTTTTGCAGCTGATAAATCCATTTTCTTTACCGGAGGAGAGAGAGAGAGAGAAGAGAGACGGTTGTTAGAATGACATTGTCGAAGTATATATATATATATATAATTTGAAAGATAGTAAGATACAGAGGTGGTGATGACATCACCGCTGATGTTTTAGACACTTTATATTTCAGTTTTCCGACAACCATTTTGTTGTGACCGTTGAACTTTTGCTATACTAATTGGAGCATCACAGTCATATCTCATATGTGTAAAGGTGCAAGAAGCAAATTTGGATATGTGTGAAGTTTGGCCATAACTTGCGTAGGGGGAAAAGGCTTGATTTTTTTGACATTTCTTACAAATGAATACTGTTGTATATTTGACTACGTATTAAAATCATACGAATCCGTTTTGGACTTGTCCGCTGACTTGTTTCCCTAGGATATGACTCACAACCAGCCAGCTATTTTCAACGGTCATTTCGTATACTTAATTGTTTTAAAATATTGAATTTTTTAACCAAGGCCTTGTGGCCCAGCCAGCCATTTGGGTTCGAGTCCCCTTAGCCACCTGGGCTGCCTTAAATGGTAAGAATACGCGGATTGCCGTGGGCCTCGTGGGATTAGTCTTTGGGCCTAGAAAACCTTTAGAATCCCCACGATTATCAAAAAAAAAATATTGAATTTTGGTTTGGGTCATTTCATTGTATTTTTTATCAAACGGATTTTCTTTTTTTTGATGAATCCCCGGGAGCAAACTCCCAGATTTTATTGACTAAAAAAGTATTACATGTAAATAAATCGTGATCGCGAGACTCCACATTCGTCATCACGCAATACCGATAACAAGTCCGGAGGGACAAAATCAAAAGTATGTAAGCCCAAAGGCAAAGTAAATGCATAGTTAGCTAATCCATCAGCTAAATGATTAGCCTCCCTATACACATGAGTAACTCGGACTTCCCAGTCCTTCGATAAAAAGCCATGGCACAAACGTACCAGGAAAGACAGAGGATGTGTGTCAGGAATTCCCTGTCTTAAGAACCCAGCCACCACTGACGAGTCCACCTCAACCTCAAGTCTCGTGATCTGCTTGTCCCAGGCGATACAAAGCCCATAATACACACCCCATAGTTCCGCTAATGGGGCTGTGCATCTCCCTATATTCAGTGCAAACCCGCCACACCACTTGCCATCACCATCCCGTAACACTCCTCCCGCTGTTGCCAACCCCGGATTTCCACGTGATGCACCATCGGAGTTCAGCTTTATCCAACCAAGCATCGGCGGTGTCCATGATATCAGCCGGTCATGTCGACTTCCCGTCTCCACTGGTACACTGCCTTCACCCACCAAGAAGATCTCCTTAGCGTAATCTTTGACAAACTTAACTCGATCTCTCCAAAGCGTTTGATCCCCGAAGACATTACCGCACCTCCATTTCCATGCCCACCAGACAGCAATCGCAAATAGAGTTGACCATGGACCATTCTCCGTTGCTGTGTTGTCATTCAAGTCAACAAACAACCACTCCATACATGACATAGCAAAGAAGACTTGCTGTTTTCCTCGCGGTACAATTCGTTTCCATATACCGGCCATAGCTAAGCAATCACGCAGAACATGTAAGATTGACTCGACCCCGCCCTTGCAGACCTGACAAATTTCAGACTCACTTATATGTCGCCGGAACCGCTCCTGATTCGTCATGATCCCCTTATTTCCAACCAGCCAAAAGAAGACCCGAACTCTTTCAGGCGCTCTAACTCTCCATACTCTGTTAAAGAAGTTCTCCATATCCGGTTTGTAGATTCCATCTCGACTCAAGAAGCGATAAGCAGACGTGACCGTGAATTGACCATCAGGGGTTTCATTCCAGGCTAAACGATCACCCGCTCCTGTTACCCTATCAACCACCACCGCACTCAGCTCGAGTTTAAGATCATCCGAGATGAAAGGCGCGATCTTCCCTAAGTCCCATCCAGTTCCATCTATCCATAAGTCACACACCTTCATGCCTACGTACGCCTCCGGAACATCTGTGGTCGCCACTTCCATTAAGGATCTATCTCCTAACCACTTGTCCGTCCAGAAATTAACTTGTCGACCATCTCCTGCTCCTCACCCGTGGACTGGTTTAATCACCTCACGTAACCCAACAACAATGCTTCTCCACGTAGAGGACCAATTACTCTTCCCGACTGTCCAAGTTGAGTCATGAATATCACCCACTCTGTACTTGCTCCTCATTACTCTCGCCCAAAGACTCGTCTCATCATACAATAACCTCCACCCTACCTTGGCGAGCAATGCTCTATTCATGAGGCTTGCTTTACGGATGCCTAAGCCACCTTCTGCTTTCGGCAAACAGACTCTATCCCATCCAATAAGGTGTTGTTTCCGTGTCTCTGAAGTTGAGCCCCAAATGAAATCCCTAGATACACGGTCTAAGGCTTTAACTTTGGACTCCGGTAGCTTGATGGAGCTCATTGTGTGGACCGGTATCGACCCTAGTACAGATTTTGATAACGTGATCCGATCCCGCTAAGCTTAGCATTCATCCTTTCCATCCGGTGAGCTTCGACGACATTCGCTCCAACACTGTCCCAAAGGTTTCTTTATTAATTCTCTTTTGCAGGATAGGCATTCCTAGATATCTCCCTAGGTCACAAGTGGCTTGTATCCCGCTTTCCCTGCTGATTGTCGTGCACAGATCCCGAGACACATTGTGTGAGAAGAATATTTTAGACTTCTCGAGGCTAACCTTTTGACCATAAGCTTGACAGAACCCCTCCAATACTTGCCGTATCACCCTTATCTGCGAGACTGATGCCTCTGCAAACAGAATCAGGTCATCAGCAAAGCAGATATGGGACAACTGGGGTCCTCCTCTCGACAGGCGAATCGGTTTCCACTCCTTACTTTCAATCGCTCGATCAATCATATGGCATAACCGCTCCATACATAACACAAAAAGATAAGGTGACAACGGGTCTCCTTGGCGCAGTCCACGCAGTGGCTTAAATGAATCCGTCTTCTCGCCATTCCAAAGAAGAGACATAGACGGCCCTGACACACACTGCATCACCCATTGTATCCAACTCTCCGAGAATCCAGCAGCTCTGAGCGAATCCTCCAAAAACTCCCAGTGGATTCTGTCATACGCTTTCTCTAGGTCCAACTTAAGGAGCATCCAGCCTCTCCTCCCCTTCTTCCTCCGCATAGAATGCACTGCCTCCTGTACAACCACAATGTTATCTGTGCTGAGTCTCCCCGGTATAAAACTCGCCTGTGCTGGTCCAATCAATTTCGTCATCACCGGCTTCATCCTTCCCACCATTGTCTTTGTGATGATTTTAAACAGCACGTTGCACAGGCTTATCGGCCTAAATTGTTGAATTCTCTCCGGACTATCCACCTTTGGTAACAGGACCACTATCACATCATTCGTATTCTGTGGAAGCATACCTGTTCGAAAGAAGTCAAGGGCAAAGCGTGTAACTGATTCACCAACCTCCTCCCAACACTTCTGGTAAAAGACTGGTTGAAAACCATCTGGTCCTGGTGCCTTGAAACGCCCCATAGCTTTCACTGCAGTCTTTATCTCATCCACAGAAAACGGAGTATTCAAGCCATTGAGTTCAGCCTGCGTCAGCGCCACGAAACCTTCTTGCGGTAAAGTTTCCACAACCTGATCCACATCGTCCAGCGAATACAATCTTCGATAATATTCCACTGCCATAGTCTCCAGATCCTGCATGTTTGATAGCCAGACCCCTTCATCGTTCTTCAGCATCTCTATACGGTTCCTCCTTCTACGGATGACAGTCGAGGTGTGGAAAAAAGTCGTATTCCTATCACCATGAGCTACCCATTTTTCACGGGATTTTTGAAACCAAATGAGCTCCTCCTGCTCAAGAACTGTATCAAACTCCTTCTGAAGCTCTGCCTCCCTCTGTAACAACAGGTCCGATTGGTGATGCTCAATCTCCTCCTGCACCTCCTTCAGATCCTTCACCAGTTTGTCTTTGCGTGCTTGAACATCACCGAAAACTTCTTTATTCCACTTCTTCAAGACGCTTTCTAGTTTACTCAAGGCTCTTCTGGTATCAATATTTGGATCCCATGACGCTGAGAGAAGCTCTTTGAAACTAGCATGGCTCATCAAACGGATTTTCTGGTCCCATGACTATGTACAATGGTTTCAACATTCAATACCACTTTTTCTCTTTCACATCATCTTCTCTTTCTTCCATATAATTATTCAACATTTATTCAATTATCTTCATTTACAATGGTTTTGTTTAATAAAAAATTCAACATATTACTCAACTGGAAATGGATAATTGTTTGGATTTGGATAATTGAAAGGATGATTTGCAGAATTTTGGGTATTAAAAGGGTTATTGTTGGGATCCATTATACTGAACAAAAGTTTAAAGCAAAAAACCAAGATTTATTTGAGGCTAATATGAAAACGAAATAAAATAAGATGAGTTTTTTTTTGTCCAAATCAAATGAAACAAGTCTCTATTTATAGAGAATTAAAAATGATGAATTTTGGTATAATTTGTTGTTTTTATTTATTAAATTTATGATAAGATAATCTATTTTCTATCTTTGTGAGGAAAAAAATAAACAAAAAATCTAAACAACCAATCAAAATAAAGCAAATATCTTTATTTTTTATTAATATATCCTTTATTTTTTTCGACCAATCAAAACATGACATGTGTCAATTTCGTGGCCAACTTTTTTGATTCAACGAGTTGAATTAATTCAACTCCATTTTCTCCACCTCTTCTTCAACATTTTTTTCAACACCTCATTGTAGTTTTTCAACATACCCATTAGACTATCTACAATGATTTTTTTCTTCAACACCCTCCTTTATACTCCACATCATCATCTCTCTCTTCCACCTCATTATTCAACACCCTCTTCAACTTTTACTATCTACAATGACTTTGTTTAATAATATACAACACCTTACCACACATTTTTATTACATATATTTATTTTATTTTTATGTTTATTGTTTCTTATTTTATATTAATAAATAAATAAAAAAACCTAAAATAGTAAAATAAACTAAAACAAAGTTGTTGTATTTTTTTTAAATGATTATATGAAACTTGAATTTTTAAAAACTTACATAATAATTAAAAAATAACAATTATTATTAAAACAATAAAATTATAAAATTAAAATCATTATTATACATTATTAAACACACAACAAAACTAATAAAACACACATAATTTTAATAATACAATAGATTTAACTCACAAATAACAAAGTTCTTAATCAAACCACATAATTAGACTTTTCATATTTTTTTTAAACATGAAACATTCCAAATTTTGCCCATATGTGTTCGACTAGATCGGCTTGCAGTTCGTGATGTATACTTGAATCACGCAACTCTGATCTAGTGCGCACATGATTTTCAAATGCATGCAACACTTCAGTTGAAAATTGTTGCGTTGTATTAGATCCACTTGCCTCTGATTGATCATAATCAATCACAGTCCAGTTTTGAGCATACGAATCTCGTTCATCCTCCACAATCATATTATGCAATATGATACATGTCCTCATGATGATTTGCAAATCAGCTATGTCCCACATGCGAGCTGGTTCGCGAATGATTTGAAATCGAGCTTGCAACACTCCAAAAACACGTTCGATGTCCTTTCGATATCCCTCATGATATTTTGCAAATAACTTGTCTGGTTCACTTTGAGGAAGTCTAACCGTTTTGACGAAAGTCGGATAGGCAGGGTAGATACCATCAGCTAGATAGTATGCCATATCATATGGACGCTGGTTCACGAAGGAGTTCACTTTCGGAGCATTTCCTTGTTCATCATCATCGAACAGCGGTGAACGATCTAGAACGTTTATATCATTCAAAGTACCCGGACATCCGAAAAAAGCATGCCAGATCCATAGATCATGAGATGCAACTGCTTCAAGAATAACAGTGGTGGTTCCTTTATCTCCTCGGGTAAATTGGCCTTCCCATGCTGTAGGGCAATTTTTCCATTCCCAATGCATACAATCAATACTTCCAATCATCCCTGGAAACCCCCGCTTTTCACTAACTTGCAATATCCTTTGCAAGTCATCTTGAGTTGGGGCTCTGAGATACACTTGCTCATACAATTGTATGATTCCCTTGCAGAATCTACACAAACACTCTAATGCCGTAGTACTTCCTATCTTGATGCATGTATTCATCGACCGCATCAGCCGACACACCATATGCTAACATCTGCATGGCAATGGTACATTTTGCTAATGGAGAGATACCTTCTTTGTTGGCTCTGTCAGCTCTTTGGGTGAAGTATTTGTCACTTCTTGATAGGTCTCCAACGATCCGAAGAAAAACGTGTTTTCGCATCCGAAATCTCCGACGAAACATTACATCGTCATATAGTGGTTGATTGGCAAAGTAATCTTCATGTAATCTTTGATTTGCTGCTGCATGATCTCTCTTGATGTGTTTTCTCGTCCTACGGGGAGTGTTGTCTGCCTCGACGTTGTTTTGATGCTCCATAAAATGGTTGAGGATAAATTTCTCTTCAATCTCAGATTGCCTTTTGAAAGCTTCAACATCAAAATGAAATTTGGATGAATCCATTTATGTATTTTTGTGTAAGATATGATTTGTTGTTTTGGTACATAAGAGAAAGAATGAATCCATATTTATAAGGCAATGATATCAACAAACGAGTGGATAGAGTTCGGATTGAAATTGAATGGTTGGAGCTTGGATTGAAATTGTGTGGTTGATTGTTAGATAAGGATTGGATTCTCTTACAAAAGGTGAAAATTTATAGATTTTATTGTCGAAGAAAGCATAGACACTTGACAAAATTATTAAAGCATAAAATGACAAACACATATTATTCAAATGGAAAATAACAAACAAACATTATAAAAATAGAGAATGACAAACAACATTATTAAGGCATAAAGTGACAAAACACAAACATACACTTGATATTAGTTAATTTTCAAATAGATCATGGCTCAACTGTTGCAACAATTCTTGGCTCCGGTCATCAAGATGCTCTTTTTCACTTAGCTTTAAAAACATCTTCATTTTCTTTGCTTTAGTCTTTTCTTTCGTAAATTAGTTTGCCTCCTCTTGTCTCATGACAATTTTATCCAATTGTTCCAACTCTTGCTCTTTCAATTGTTTAAATTCATTCCAGTGTTCGTTGCTTACTTCCAGTGAAGCACTCTTACCTTTCTTTTTTGCCTTTTTCTTAGCTGCATCCCTCCCCATTGGACGAACAGTAGATCCTATGGAGTTGGAGTCACTAGCATCACTCGGATTGGCTCTCTTAGATCCACTACTTTGAGAACCAGTATTCCCTCCTACCTGACTACCATAACGTGGTTGGTCAGGAAATTTTAGCCATTCTTGAATGAAAATAAAATTTCCATTACCACCGCTTGAATATAATTCATGTGCTTTCGCCAATATATTATTTTCTGACCACCAACTTTGTTGCATACGTTTAGCGTTATCATATGCGCCAACCCATTTTCCCAATCTTTGATTTATGTAGTTATAATGATTCCTACATGAAGTTCCATCACGTGGAGGATCAAATGAACAATATTTGTTACAGTATTCAGCAATCTTACCCCAGTAGGATTCACTTTTTTGGTTTCTACCAACAATAGGATCAGTTCCATATTTACTCTATCCACTAAGTAGCACCAAATTTTGATCAGTCGTCCATTTGGAGCTTCTCCGCCGAGTACGAGTTGAATCCTCTGCAATTGGAGCGGTTTCGTTGAGACCAAGACCCATTTGTGTAGAAAATTCAGGAAATTCAGTTGTTTCAGCGTTTGAAACATTTTCATTAGCTGTTGGAATTGTAGAAAAATGGGGTGTTTGTGGCGGATATGGCATCATCGATCCATGATATGGACGATAGTTTGGAACAGCTGATGGCATGAAAAAATTTAGCGAAAAACCATAATTTGGTATATTTTGGTGAAGATTAGAAGAATGATTTTGGAATTGATAATTGTTGAGATTTGGGTAGTTAAAAGAATTATTAGAAGAATTTTGAGTGCTAAAAGGATTATTATTGGGATCCATTAAGAAAAAAATATAGAAAATGTGTTTTTCTTTTCTGTGTCGGATTGAAATGAAATAAGTCTCTATTTATAGAGGATAAAAAATGATGAATTTTGGTATAAAATTTATAATTTTAAAACTTAATTTTGAATGAAATAATTGAGCTCAAATAATTTAGGGGAACAAAAAATATCAGAAATCTCAGTAATCAATCATATTCGGACATGTGTCATTATTTTATCTCTATATATTTAAGATACACCTTTTGTCACGCGCTCGTAACACGCGCTTCTGTCCATGAATTATAATTTGACATGTGTCTTTAGTGGGACCCAATTTTTTTTTATCAACATGTTGTAAATTTTCAACACCGATTTTGCCAACTCATTCAACAGGTTGTTTCAACAGGCTCATTAAAGACACTTCAACTGTTGAATATTATTATCAACAGCCTCATTGCACATAGTCTTATAAGTAGTCTTTGAGCATATTCCTAGGTTTTACAGCGGATAGATTTTTTGTATCGAATGAAGCAATAAGTCAATACAATCACTTTCTCTTTTTATATATACAAATGTAATAGTAAGATGATTCAATGAGTAAGAGCCAAAACTAGGGGACACAAATATTAGTTTTTTTTGTTTTTATCTAGTCTTGTGTGTAATAATACATTTTGTTTTTTTTTTACCAAAAGACTTTCTTAATTAATGCAGGAAATAAAAAAGTTTACAAGCCCAAAGCTTTAGAGTTTTTGCATAAGCCCATGCTAAGCAGTTAGATATTTCTAATTGAATCAGCCCATAATATTACTAAGCCCAAACCAAAAGGTGAAGGAAGTTGAGAAGATTTGTCGATGAATGAGGAAAGGAAGATGACGGTTTGTGATCGATTCTGGGGTTCCATCATCTGACGCTGTCTGTAGAGAGCCATAGTTGGAGCAGCTTGGATGCTAGACCTGGGTTTCGCTCCCTGAAGCTTGCTATTCTGTTTCTAATCTGGCGATCGATCTGAGCATTGATTGATTCCTTTGAGCAGAAGATCTGTCGATGCAATCGCGCATTCCTCCCATGCCAAGTCCAGTAGATCGAAGCCTGCCAAGCCATCAACACCAGTCTGTTTCCAAGCTTTCCTAGTGCAAGTGTTTGTAACTGGTTCAGCGTAGCCCCCCATCCTCGTTCTGCTCGCAGATTACATCTTTTCGCTTGGAGACTCCAGATTGACCAGCTCCACGGACATTCGAAAAGTAGATGGTTCCTGGTTTCAATACCCACATTACAGAGAAGACAGTGGAGATCTGTCTGAAGACAGATAATACATTTTGTTTTGGTCAATCAATAATTATATTTAGAAAACTAGGTGGTACCGACGCCTTTCATGGAGTAAATTTTAAAGTAATTACATTGAACATGATTTTGAAATTATTTAAAATAAAAGTAATTTAACAAATGATAACTATATTTAATTTTTTGATCAAACAAAAATATTTAAAATATTTAGAATTCTATTATCCCCGGGAGCAAGCTCCCAGATTTTTGGGTGATAAACTTAAGAGACTGAAGAGTGGCTAAGCTTGCCACTAAATTGTGCCATCTGACAAGTGATTAGGTGATAAGCTTGAGAGGCAGAAGAGAGGATAAGGTTGCCACTAAAATTGACAAGCGATTAGGTGAGAAGCTTGACAGACAGAAGAGAGGATAAGTTTGCCACTTAACTTGTGACACCTACAAGTTATTAGGTGATAAGCTTGACACACAAAAGAGAGGATAAGCTTGCCACTTAACTTGTGACACCTGACAAGTGATTAGGTGATAATGATAAGATCATATATCATATGACAAGTGATTACATCAAACATTTTTTTGGTTTTCTTATACATTATATGAACCTAACCCAACCAAACCAAGCTAAATCGTATTGGGTTCTTGTGCTTCCTAACGTCTAATAGCCAAACTACTTGAAACCCAAAACAACTGGACAAACCAAACCAAACCGACAACCTCTATTAGATAGCCTCTTTTTATAAGTGCAGTCAAAGAATGGTTTTACCCTAAAAAAAAGTAGTTTCGGGTAAAACCATTCTTTGACTGCACTTATAAAAAGAGGCTATCTAAAAGAGGTTGTCGGTTCGGTTTGGTTTGTCCAGTTGTTTCGGGTTTCAAGTAGTTTGGCTATTAGACGTTAGGAAGCACAAGAACCCAACACAATTTATCTTGGTTTGGTTCGGTTAGGTTCATATAATGTATAAAAAAACCAAAAAAATGTTTGATGTAATCACTTTTCATATGATATATGATATTATCATTAATACCTAATCACTTGTCAAGTGTCACAAGTTAAGTGGCAAGCTTATCCTCTCTTCTGTCTGTCAAGCTTATCACCTAATCACTTGTAGGTATCACAAGCTAAGTGGCAAGCTTATTCTCTCTTCTGTCTGTCAAGCTTCTCACCTAATCACTTGTCAGATGTCACAATTTAGTGGCAAGCTTATCCTCTCTTCTGTCTCTCAAGCTTATCGCATGATCACTTGTCCGATGGTACAATTTAGTGTCAAGCTTATCCTCTCTTCAGTCTCTTAAGCTTATCACCCAAAAACGCTATTGTTTGTTTTTTTTACTTTAGTTTGGTGTTTGGATGCTTGTCATCAGTCTCTTCAGTGTCTTCAGCTTATCATCCAGCCTTTCTGCATCTCTATCATCCAGCCTTTCTGCATCTCTATCCGTGAAGGAAATCGTAGGGGCGCCTTTATGGATGTAAGGATAACGCTGTGCCGCATCAGCTTTCTGCTAGTATTCCTTAATTTCTGAGATAGTCATCGTAATCTATGAGGCCGCCCATGAACATTGTTGCTTCTCCTTTCGGCCCGACTTGGCTGGTCTCGATGTGTAACCTTTTCCATGGGATTGGTCTCCCTCTACCGGCGGGATGTCTCCTTGCTGGTACATCGCTAAAAGGTTACTCATGAGGTGCTTGCAGTTCTTGGTGGAGTGACCATTTCTTCCGTGGAAGTGGCAAAATGCTTTGCGGTCATCGTCGTCGCCATTAGTGCTGGTAGATGGTGCACGAGATAAAATCATTGCGGCAATTTGTGATGCTTGTTCGGCGGCGTCGTCGATTGCAAACAAGGTGAGGAGCGTCTAGCCTTTTCCGGGGCTCTTGAGCTTCATCCATAGGCTTCAGGGGAGCCGGTCTTTTCTCGCCATGCTTCTCGGCATAGAAAGATTGATCTTCCTCGAAGAAGATGCAGCTCTGAGATCGGTGGAAAACGTCTTCCAGCGTCGTAGGTGGTCTCAATGATAGGTCTTCTTTGAACTTGGAATCATACCATAGGCCATTGCGGAGTGCCTCTAGCGAGACACAATCTGGCATGTCACCGAGATCAAGGGCATCTCTCTTGAACTTCTCCATGAACATACGCAAAGGCTCGCCTCGCGATTGTGTCATGGTGAATGTGTTCTGAGTAACCCAGGTCATGTGCATGGAGTAGTGTTTCAGAAAAGCGTTGGTCAATTCGTCAAAGTTGTTGATCGACTCTGCAAAGAGGTTCAAAAACCAAACAAGGGCTTCCTTTGTCATGTGTTCAATGAACACTTGGTAGTAGTTCCCCTCTCTTTCTTCGAGAAAATTGTATTTCTCTCTCGTCATAGCTAGGTTGAATGTTGTCAACCACTTCTTGTGGTCGTTGACACCGGTGTAGGGCTTGATCTTGAGACACACTTTGTCCTGGAGTCGGACTCGGCGAATCATAGCACTGAGTGGGCTCTTCCAAGTGTCAGCGAGTTCTTTCGTCAACTCAGGGACCGAGCTGGTGGCTCGGTGTACTTTAGAAATGAACTTGTCGAGACGACGGTTGATTCGTTCAAACTCCAAGGTGGCTCGTTTGCCGACTCGTACGGGTTGGCTCATTTTTTCCGTTTGGTTGCAGTTCCTTCTGCCGCCGTGGTCCCCGTGGCTTGACATGTCGGCTCGTCAAGCTAGAGTTGACGAGATGGTGATAGCTCGCCATTGCGTCGATCTTCTCTTGGGTCTTCTTCTTCTGATTTTGCATTGATTCAGCGCTGTCAGCGAGTGGCTTTACGGCGTTTCGGATTGTCTCGAGGAGCTCTTCGTATCAGGGGATGTTTCTGGTGTGGTTTCATCGCTTAGGGGCAGGCCGCGGAGATTTTCTATCGGATGGCGAGACAGATCGGCTTCTGGACGGGCTCTTCTCCGGCTCGCGTGGAGCTTTCTCGACCGTTGATGGGTCTCTCTCCCCAGTAGGGTCCTTCCTGTTTCGGCGAGGGCTCCTTTCGAGAGTGTTTTCTTCAGGGTTTGACATCGGTTGTCTTCTTAGAATTCGGAGACATCTTCAAGCTTTAAGTTTGTGAGAAGCGTTCCCAGTCCCCACAGTCGGCGCCAATTGTTCCATCTGAGATAGCACATGTTCAGCGACGAAATATCAAAGATGTGAGTTTTGAGAACTGAGACTTTTTTGCTCGAAGAGGTATCAAGTATTACAAGAGAGTGATCTCGTCAAACAGATCTTGAAAGCAAGAACAAGAGCCAAGTGAATAAAGAGCAGCTATTGCTAGAGGCGATTGCAGAGAGTTTCAGATTGTCTTCAAGGAATTAAAATCTCTTCTTATATAGGTGTAGGAGGTCGGTTGTTGATGAATATCTTTCTCCTTATCAAACTGGAAAATTTCATCTTATCCTTGATTTGTTTCCATTCTTCGAGTCGGCATATATCAAATCTTTACATTTTCCTAAAAATTTGTCTTTCTTTTCAAGACTTGCCATTTATTTGAAAAGGTTAGGATTATAGATGGGTTTGACTTTTGTGGTGTTACTAATTGTGACAGGTTTAAGAAAATGTACTCATTTCACCTCTAATATATGAATCCGAGAGTTTGTGCACCAAAACGTATGGTTCTAAAAGTTTAGAAGGAATTATTATATTATTATTGTGACATGTTATATAAGACTAGGCAGGTTCAAGTGTTTGATGATGGGTAAGAATGTAGGCACATCCAAACTTAAATTTTACTTTAGCTATGTTTTTGTATCGGTTACATTGTTTTCTACTGTAGCAAAAAAAATGGTAACAAATCCATCATAATCATACAAAACTCAAAGAAACAAACAAGCAAAAATATCAACAAATAGTATACAATTTATTAAAAATAAAAACTCTATCGGAGATCCAACAGTAAGTTTTATGCAAACAAAATATTAATTATAATCTCATAGAAAACTAACATGGACAAAAAAATACTGCAAAAAAGTATTATAATCTCATAGAAAACTAACATTGACAAAAAAAATACTGAAACTCATCATGTTTGATTGTTTTCGAAGTACATAACACATATATCTTAAACAAAAGCTACAAAGACTAACACGGACAAAACAAATACTAAAATAATGATATAATTTCTAAGTACATCATAACATATATAGATTCAACAAATGCTAAGGTTTCAGTCATCATGGGAAAAATCAAATATTTATTACTGATAAAAATATGAATTTGAGATATTCTAATTATGATAACAATAATAATTCAAGAGCGAACTACAAATGATTCAATAGCGAAATACTTACAATGAATAGCTTGAAAAAACTCTGCATCGGGGAAATCTAGATGTATGATTCTTATGCACCGAAGAGAACACAATGAAAACGGCGATAAAGAGTAGCCTAAAATAGATTTAGGTTAAACAACTAAATAATATATATATACACTTCTATCTACAATATATAAAGCCCAAAGTCCATGTATATAAAGCCCAAAATATATATACACATATTAATACAAAAGAAAATATTATTGCTTTGATGGTTGAAACTTTATTCTTTTAAATCATTTTATAGATGGCAGTCTCAGTCCCGACAAAAACATCAAGGTTATCATGAGATTACTCTTTCAGGCAACCATTTACTTCGACTGGGCTGAGCGTAATGCCCGTCTTCACTCTTCAGCTTCTCGGCCAGCTGTTAGTAGGAGGGAAGAAATCCAGCGGGTCATTAGAAGGAAACTAGACCCATTGTCTAGAGCTCCACGTAACATTCCCTAAGTGGTATATCTGCTAACAACTTGGTTCTCTGTGTTTCAGGTTCCCTAACTCTTCTTGTTTTCTTTAAGTAATTATCTCTTCTAAGAAGTTTTTCTGTTTAATTTTTGAGTCACGGTGTGTGACTATCCAGATGGTTGATCTGTTGTATTTGTGTTGTAACCTTGAGGGGAGTTTAATCTATTAAATGGAAATTTAAAGTTAAAAAAATTACTATTTAAGAAATCGACATAACTGAATATTTTGGTAGCAAACTAGCAATTTTTTTTGGATGCGCGCGACGTGGTTGCTATGATTTTTATAATTCATATGATTGTGACATGTGTCGAACTTTAATTTTATTCTTGTTAAGATCTTGACATGTGTCTTGGAAAAGAAAAAAATTAAAATTAAAATTTATTAAAAAGATATTAATAAATTATTTTTCATATCCTAAAAGAAAAACGGCTTCATATTCTAACGGAACAAGGAAAAAAGTGGAAAAAAAAAGAAAAATGTTATCATATTCTAATGGAAAAAAAATATTATTGCATGCCTCATATTTTAAGATAAAAATGATCAATATTCTAACGGAAAAATGAAAAAAAAAAAGTATTTTCTATGACTTACCAAGCCAAGGAAAACTGAAAAATGAAAAAAAACATTTTTTTAAAAGGAATTTTTTTTTTTCGGGTTTTCAATATTTTTTATTACATTTAAGAGCAATCATATTTTGTTTAATATTTTTTTCGTAAATTGTTCAAAAATCTTCAGCCGTGTATAGGTGGGGGCCTTATCTAGTCACCAATTCATCATATAAAGCTTATTTTACTTCAAAGTCAAAAAACTATATTTTTAATTAGATACTATCCTTCCATTGGAGGTATCATTTACCTTTGTTTGGATTATAATAAGAACATTGTTCGTCCAACATTTTAAGATATCTTAAGCGATTTTGAAAATGTGTATTTTTTTGTGTATTATCCAAAATTACAAGAAAACCTAAGAAAACAGGGAATGGAATCGTAAACATTAATTTCCAATCCAAGCTGAAAGTTTGTGCCGCTTTCTCTAAGCCCCACTATATAACGACTTATTGTTTTTTCTCTTCTTGTGAAATCTCAAGATATGTTCGATCCTAGTTTTTTTTTTTTTTTTTTGATAACTGTGGGATCCTAAAGGCTTTCTAGGCCCAAAGACTAATCCCACGAGGCCCACGGCAGTCCGCGTATTCTTACCATTTAAGGCAGCCCGGGTGGCCAAGGGACTCGAACCCAAGTGGCGGAAGTCACAGCTGTAACCCCTTTACCACTGGGCCACGAGGCCTTGGTTAATTCGATCCTAGTTTGGTTTTGTGTCTTCTTCCTTGATTAAGATTCGAGTGGATTGGAAAAGTTAATTAAGATTCGAGTGGAATCATAGCTTGAATCTTTTTACTGCTTACCCTAGGTTAGCGGAATCAATTTTGTGACCGCAAACATTGCAGATAGTAAACCCATACGGTATGATCCGGTCAACTCTAGTAAACCAATATTGATTGTTTGATATCCATATTATTCAACTAGTTAGCTGAAAAAATAAACATGAATCAATCATTTACTTGAGTAGTATACATCCATATAAGCAAAGTGTATAATGAATAATCAAAATTGAAATTTTAATGTCCCACTTCAGTCTTCAGCATATATGAAAAAAGTTTAATTAATAATTTACTAGGGATTTAATTGAGTCTCAAAAGTCAAGAATAATTATAAACCACACCGGTTTTGTCAGAACCGAACCAAATCAAGATTCAATACAAGAGGTTACATTTACGATCTCACTCTACGTTAAGATCTACGGCTAAGACTGTTGTTTAGCGAAAGAGTTTCTTCTTCATAATTTGTCCGCTTTCTAACGAATTTTGATTTCTTCATATCGATTCAGGTTTTCCAAAATTGAATGATAAAGTTACGATCATGTAGTTTATCCCGGTCATTAGGGTTTCTTCTTCTCCCTTTTTTTTGTTTCTGTTTTCGAAGCTGTGGAAATTGCGTGTGGCTCAATCTATATTCTTGTTGTGTGATGACATTAATAGAATGTTAGGCTTCTGCTATAGGTTATTGAGACATGTAACACCGTTGAGGAATCCCGTGATAGAGAGGCTGCTTTTTGTAATGCATTATGTCTACTTCGAAAATATCAAACCGAAGAAGAAGAATGATTATGAAAACTTTGATCATGACGGCTTGGAAGGATTTCGGTGATGGGATCATAATCTTGAGCCGCCTTTCTTTGGCTCTCAGTAGAAATCTTGGCTGTTTTGATGATTGTCAGATATCAAGCAAGACGTGCTGAAGAAGCTAAAGGATAAACTGAAGGATGTAAATGGGTTTGCAAGGGAGAAGATAGAGTCTTAACATTTTGTACTTGTGGAAGTCTCTCTTTGATGAAGATGAAGATAAGGAAGCAGCCAAAATGGTCTTGAAGGCTGGGAGGGCTTATATATTTTGTACTTGTAGAAGTCTCTCTTATATCGATGTATACTACTCAAGTAAATTATTGATTCATGTTTATTTTTTCAGCTAACTAGTTGAATAATATGGATATCAAACAATCCATATTGGTTTACTAGAGTTGACCGGATCATACCGTAAGGGTTTACTATATGCAATGTTTGCGGAGAAGGGTGTTGCAGAGGCGAATAGGTTTGACAGGGATGCCATTGAGACTGACGTTTTGGAGATTTGGAAGTCTCTCTTTGACGTAGAAGCTAAGGAAGCAACACCGACTCTCCAAGCCATCAAGAATGGGATTCTTAGTGACTTGTTTCAGCCTATAGATGACAAATTAGCAGCAGAACCACAACAAGATTAGAGGCAAATGAATGCTTGAACTCCAAAGCAGGTCTAGTCATTATTATTTAATTACAAGTGCTTTGAAAAACACTAATATAAGCCAGCTTTGCTTTATGATTGTTGTTTTTGAACCACTAATCCAAGCTCAAATTCACAACACTTTACACTGGCTTAAGCCAGCCACCAAACATTGTCTCCTCAAAAGATGATCATATGAACAAAGAATGCTTAACACTGTCCATATAATAACATAAACTAACTACCAACAAACTTCTTCAAGCTTCACCAGTTTCCAGAGACACTGTACTCTATCACGAAATGACTCTTAACTGCTTGTATGAGCCCTTAAAAGCAGTCAACACAGCAACATGTTTCTTAAAAACACTCGAGATATGTAGCTTCTCCGAGTCAGTGAGCTCCATCTGAAAACGAGTTATCTTTGCTTTGATCAAATGGCAACTAATCAGTATCAAAAAAGCCAACAGTTCCAAAACGGAGTAACACTACCAAAAATGTAACGAAACTCACTTGATGGAACCAAAAAACAGAGCAAATTTTACCTTGCTTTCTTCCATCTGCAGAGGAAAATACGCAATTGGAGACTCATTTCATAACTGTTAAAAGAATATCTGCAACAAGCTTCCACAGGCTGTGCAATTCCATCAAGAAGTATGTTTCCTTCATCTTTCTCGACTAAGCTCAATAGATACAACCATTCTCGTCAATGCAAGAAATAAAGATTCCTTTTGGAATCTCTCAAAGCATGGAAAAGAAGAACCTGTGACAGAAACAGTTTATCAGAATATTACAAGTATAGAGATCATGTGAAATTCCCAAATTTTGAATCTTTGCAATCAACAATGGAAAGGAAAAGGACGAGACTTCACCATTTCACTAAACAAACCAATTGCATCGTCTAACTTCAAATCCTGGACTAACCCATTTCTCAATCTCTCTCTGTAATCATAACTGAGACCACCAGCTTCAGCAGATATGTAAAAACTTAAGAGGGGATTTAATTGAGTCTCAAAAGTTAAGAATAGTTACTTAAACCAATCCGGTTTGTCAGAACCGAACGAAATCAAGATTCATCACATTGAATCTCATCTCATTGTGCACGTACACTCCAACGATGAAGAGATTTCTCACATTTCCTTTTTGATCTACACCAAGATGAACCGATCTAACACTGTTTAGCGAAATATCGAAAAAGCTAAGATTTATAACAAAATAAATTACAATCTCATAGAAAACTAACATGGACAGATATATATATATACTATAAAGCTTATTACATGTTTTCTAAGTACATCATAACACATATATATTCAACAAAAGCTAAAATTTCAGTTGTGACAAATCAAGTATTTATTACCGATAAAAATATGATTTTGGGATATTCTAATTTGACCATCACACTAACCAACAGTGATGTTGACAAAGGCTATAAGAAATTTATTATGACCAAAATATCCGTTTGGGAGCACATTCATAAACATATTCTTGAAGCATATTACAAAATGGCAAAAAACTTAGGTCAGACAGGACGTAAGGTTAACGCAGTACCAGGCTTGACTTTTTGGGTGTCCAATTTAAAAGAGGAAATTTAGACTCTAAAACTGAATTTTTAAGCTAAAAGCCCTAAAATTTACAGGGAAAAAAAACTGAGACCCCATTATAAAGAATTGTTAGAATGGGCTCAGGCCCGGCCATGGATTAACGTTCATGAATCGTGCATGACTCTATGATGGCACAACGCACAAGATCCAGTGTTGTTTTGGCGTTCAAAATTGTATGTGCCACCTGAAGAGTTCACAATCAAGATGTAATGAAATTTCTAGGTGATAGGTACGATCACAAGTAGTATTAGGCAGAGGAAGAAAAAGAAAAAGAGTTAGCAAATAAAGCATTCTTTTTTTTTAGAGAAAATTACTTAATCTAACACTAATTCAACAGTTTATTACTAGATTAGCACCCATAAAAAAACACTTACTAGAATAGCATACAATTTGTGTCAAAAGTCCAAATAACCAATGTAGTAATTGATAATTACACCCATGCCATTGTAATCAATTTTTGGTGTAATTAAAAAAAAATGAAATTTCAAAATTAAACCGTTACAAGATGCATTTTAGGTAAAATAAAAAAGAATGTCTACCATTTCACGAGAGAATCTGTCACTTGTCTCTCCGCCGCCATTAAGTCAACACGATTCCGATTACGAATCCGGCAGCGTTGTCGCTAACTCCGGTATCAGCTTCGACTAATCCGACGTCCGTTAGGTCAGTTCAGTTTTTTTTTCTCTTCTCATTGCCGTATTCAATTTGTTTTCGGGTGTGATTTTAATTTCAGGCTTTGCTTGAGACTCTGAATTGTTATGCGCGAAAGAGATAACCGATTGAGTATAACTGAGAAACAGAGTTGATTGAATTTCTCGAATGTTTCCTGTTTGGCCTTTTTTAACAAAGTTATGTTTTAATTTGGTAGATTGATAACTGTTATTCTTGAAATAGTAGATTATGCTTTGTTTAATAATATTTTTTTAATCACTTTGGTTGACTTTATGTGTTGAATGTACGTGTTGGTTGTTTTGTGTTGTTAGCTATGGCTTCGTCAAGTGGTGAGAAGAAATACCCTCGACGAATGTACGCAGAGGGAAAGGCACCATCGCAAACGAAAAGCATGAATTATAATTGTTATGTGTCTAACATAAAAATGGTAGAAACAGGAGTTGGAAAGGATGTGTGGGAGTCTTTGAAGGAGTCTTCCATTGGAGTGATTGCTAAGCTTAAAGATGTTGAGTATACATTCTCTGCCAAGATTGTGCATTACTTGCTTACACATCAGTTGCAAACGAAGAAGAGCTATGAGATATGGTCCTTGATTGACACCCAGCCAATTCGTCTTTCTTTGCTGGAATTCGGTGATATTACGGGCCTAAATTGTGAGCCATTTAAGGATGAGAACAAATGGGATTTAGATCATGAAGAGTTTTGGGGAGAACTAAATGTCTCTACATTGGAAGGACCGTCCTTGGATCAGTTGGAATTGGTCTTTTCTAAAAGTGCAGATTGGACTTTTGAGAAGAGGAGAATGGTAGGATTGTTGTGTCTCTTGTCCATTGGCATCTACGGCCTCTCTCCGTCCAGTCATATCCCTTTACATCAAGCGAAAAGAGTTCTAAATCGAGAAGCTTTTGAGAGTTATCCGTGGGGTCGAGTTGCATGTAAGAGTTTGATGGATTCAATTAAGATGCTAAGTTACGGTGTGAAGAAAACATACACACTTAGCGGATGTGTTCACGTTCTGCTCATATGGGCATATGAGGCAATTGCTGGTATAGGAGAGTTGCATGGGAATAAAAGGGCTGGTGACGAGGTTCCTCTTCTTTCTTGGGGCGGTTCCCGTCCAAGGATTGAGTGGTCAGACTTCTTCCGGAAAGAGAAGAAAAGTCATGCAAATAAGGTATTCATTGTTTGTTGTGAGTGATGATTATCTTAAAACTATATATCTTTTTATACAAAGGTCTAATGGAAAACATATTTCCAGATTCGTGTTAGGAACTTTATTACACTGTTTGACGGAGAAACCAGTGCGAAATGGGTTGATGAGGAGGAGGATGAAGACGTGAAGACCTTGCTTGATGATATACATCACAATCGGTTAGATGAATCAGCTTGGGATGTCATCAAAGCTAATATTAGCCAGAAAAAAAAACGTAAAGAAGCTGTCGAACATAGTGACGTTGACTCCAAGGAACATGAGAAACCTACAAAAACGAAAAAGAAAGAGAAAAAACTTGAAGGAGTTACAGCGGTTAGTAAAAAAGATACTATTATTTTGAAAGAAAGTGTACTCTTTAATATAAGCTGGTTTACTTGTGTTTTACACTTTTTATTTAATATTGCAGACATCAGATGATCAAACCAGTCTCGTGGATATGATGAAGTTGTTTACATCAAAAGTAGACAACATGGAAACCAATATTGCTAACAAGGTGTTGACTGGTTTAGATGGAGCAATTGATGCCAAAGTTGATGCGAAGGTTGAACTGAGATTCAATCCCATGGATGAGAAGATTGCCACACTTGAGAAGGAGGTGAAATTTCTAAGAGAACGTTTAGGAGAGTGTGACACCAAAGAAGCCGGCAGCTCCAATGTTAACATAGATGATGATGTCACTAGTAATTCTATGGTACGTTAGTTATCTCTTCTTGTTACAAAATGTTGGTTATTATTTATACATGCATTTTTCATGATTATTTGTGCAGCCATGGATGGTGCATGCTAAGTCTACATCACATGATGATTTGCCTATCCACGTTGTCGTTAAAAATGCAAACAAACCATGCAAGAAAATTGAGAAGCTCACCAAGGAGCAAACAGTGGAGGAACTGCAAGCCAAATTGAAAGGAAAACAAGTTCAAACTACTGTCACGAACCAGAAGAAGAAAATAAAACAAGAACCTACTTCTTCAGAGACGTTTTCAAACCCGGTACATAGACGATTTCGTGCTGGATTAAATCTTATGGTAGCTGGAATTTGTGGCGTCAAAGATGATACCTCACTGCCAAAGCGCCAACCCAAATTATCTTCGAGTCAACTCTATCCGTTTGTGGGAAATTCTACTGTGAAGCGGATCATTACCGGTGTATCTCTATCCATCGCAGCGTACGATCCAATGACTGAAGTGGATGAGACTAAAGCACATGATTTGTTGGATTTTATACGGCAAGATGAGTAAGTACTTTCAGAAATATTTTTTAATACATGTTGATATATATTAACCAAGATTACTAACATCTTAACATTATTCTACATTTTCTTAGTATGGAACCAATTGCGACATGGGATTCAAATGTCGAATTTTACATAAAGCTAATTACTCCGAGGGATAAATGGTGTACACAAGACTACGGCTGGTTGGGTAGTTCGGTGAGTTTTGCTGACTTTAAAATGACGATTCATTGGTCAAAAAAATTATACCACATTTGTGAATTTGTGTTTCTCTTTCACAG